ATATATATATATATATATATATATATATATATATATATATATATATATATATATATATATATATTTAATTCACATTCATTCCGTTCATATTTTTTTCACTTTTTGTTTTTCTTTCAAGACTTTGACAGAGACATGGCTCAAGATGACGGGAACCAAAACTTCGACACGAAATACACCAAAATATACGTGGGAGGTTTGCCTTGGAGAACAAGAACCGATGGTTTGAGAACCTACTTCCGACAATTCGGAGAAATTATCCATGCTAATGTAGTTTGCAATAGATACACAGGACGATCAGAGGGATATGGTTTTGTCACGTTTAGACATGCTGAATCTGCGACGAGGGCTTGCCAGAATCCAAACCCGATCGTAGAGGGACGAGAGGCCAAGTGCCAGCTTGCTTATTTTGGTGCTAGGGTTTACAATAACCAAAACGTCGACCAACAACTACAAGTAGCTACCTATGTACCCAACTGGGACCAGTTTGCACCGCGATATCATACTCATGGCTACGTGCCTTATGGTTGTTGGACACACCATAACCCTTACTACTGGAACTGGAACTGGAACCAACCTGACTTTTGACTTTGACTTATGCGAGCTATCTCTTTCGTTGTTGTCTCAGACACTACTTAGCTTGTTCTATTTGCTAAAACTCAGGCTGTTTAGTTTCTGCATGACTCTAATATATATAGTTCAATTTAATTACAAATTTATAAAAATTCACTGCATCTCTCATGTTTTAACAGAGAACAAGATTTTATTTTTTCAATCCTTGTTTATTTTAGAACTATTGTTGACCAGACTCTAATAGAGTATTAATTTCTCCAAATTTGCCTTCTAAACATATATGTTACACACACAGATCAAATCGTAAGTAGATACTTAGGATTTTTTCATTTTGGCCTTGGAATGTGAACTTGACTTTTCAAAGGGTTGAAATCTGAGACAGTCCAACCTCTTCTCAAGATTCTTTCACACTTGAAATCATTTTCAACCTCACAAAAAAATAGCCCCATACAAGATCTGTTGAAATCTTGAAACCAAAATCTACAGATTGATCATCTTCATCAGCAATGGGAAACTGTCTAAAGCATCTCAAAGAACAACCTCCTCCTTCAGTTTCTCCCAAGCCTCTCATCAATCCTCCAACTTCAGGTACATGCTCTGTTTTCAAAGATACTTATTACTTTTGTTTACATAATAGAATCTAAATACGTTAGAGTTATATATGGGTATAAAAAGTGGAGTCAGAAACGGAAAATTTGAGAGAGTTCAGCTTTGCGAAATTGAGCAAGGCAACAAAGAAATTCAGACAATACATTTACATAGAAAGTAATGATGGTGGCGGTTATCGACAAATCTACCAAGGCTACATCAATGAGACAACCTTTGCTCCATCAAGAACTGGAATCGCTGTTTCTGTCATGGAATGTTATCAAAATAGTTCGCAGAATCTTCAAGACTGGAAGGTAACCAAATTTACTATTTATATATTTGTTTCTTATTTATGTATGTTCTGTATCCATCTGATAGGCATATAAAACCATTGAGTTTGCAGGAAGAAGTGAAGTCTCTTGCAAGTATTTCTCATCCCAATTTAGTTAAATTGTTAGGTTATTGTTGTGAAGAAAACAAATCACTCTTAGTTTTCGAATACTTGCACAAGGGAAGTTTGGACAGTCACATTTTCGGAAGTTAAGATCTCTTCTAACCAATGTGTCCATTCTTTTTATGTAACGGTATAGATAATTTTGCTTTACATACAAAAAATTCATGCAACAGAGCAAGAAGAAGCATTGCCGTGGGAAATACGGGTTAAGATAGCCATTGGAGCTGCACAAAGTATTGCGTTTCTACATTCGGTCAAGAACACCGCGCTATATCGAGAACTTAGAATGTATAACATTTTGCTTGACGAGGTAAATGACATTACACCACTCTTCCTATTATTATTTTTTATATGATCTTACATTAACAATGAAACCTGAACTTTTGGATTTCATGATCAGCTCTACAACGCAAAGTTGTTCTATCTTGTATCAAATAAACTATGTTTGTTAGAAGAAAGCATCACGACTGCATTCATAGGAAGAACTGAATATGTAGCTCCTGAATATATAATCTCAGGTGCACCAAAATCTTAAGTTTTGTGCTTACAAAAAACTCTTAATCAATATCTCGTGGTTCGATGTTTAAGACCGTTGTGTAATGTACGTGTAGGTCATTTGGGAACGAAGAGTGATGTGTATACATTTGGTGTGATCTTGCTTGAGATTTTCACTGGTTGTAAAGCTTCAGGTGGTAAAAAGAATGAGAACATGCAAAGCTTACATGTCTGGACTAAACCTTTCTTGTCTGATCAAAGTCAAATCCAGAAAATAATTGATCCTCGATTTGGGAACGTATCCTGTGAAAGCAGCGACACAGATGGGGAAACTCATCAAAAGATGCATCAAGCTGGACGCGATCAAAAGACCATCTATGCAACAAGTTTTGGATGGTTTGAATGATATTTTACAAATCAAAGATTAACGTGTAGAGGTAATGAGATTTGAAGTTGACCAAGTTTGGTGCTAATTTGTAACAACAAAACAAAACTGGAGCCTGAGAGATTTCTAAAACAGTGTGCCATTGATGATAGACAACGTTAGATCAGAATACATTGCAATAAAATCTCCCTCTATGTCAAGTACAACTAAACAAATCTTACCAAACTGGACTTGACTCTCTTCTATGTATAGTTGGGTCTGAGAAAATTTTCTACAAACTTGGCTTAATATGGATACAGACATACCCAAGCTTGCCTTGTATGCCACTTTCCTTGTTTGGCCTGAGTGAGTAATTGAAATCTCAAAGTGTTGATTTCTGAGGCTAGTCTAAACTTTTTTTTTTCTTCTTCTTTTTCTTATATAGCTTCTTTCATTATTTTCAAACTCTTACTAAACCCTATGAGATGATCTATCTGTTAAAACCTTTGTGAGTTCCATTCCAATTTTGAGAGACAAAGAGATTGAGATACAAGCCCTTTGAAGCCTCCATCATCATCTAAAATGGGAAACATTGTAAAGCCTTTCAAACAACAACCTTCTTCATTTGCTTACCAGCCTCTCACAGTCCCTCTAATTTCAGGTACATCTCTGTTTTTTTAAAATGCACTTTACTATTGTTTACATGTAATGTTTTTTTTTTAAATTAATACGTAGCTCAAAATTTATGTATGTATATGGAGAAGTGGAGGCAAAAAACGAGAATCTGTGGGTCTTCAGATTTGCGGATTTGAAGAAGGCAACAAAGAAGTTCAGACAGGACAGGATCATAGAATGTGAGGATGGCTCTGTTCGAAAATTCTACAAGGGATACATTGATGAGACCACATTTTCTCCATCAAGAACTGGAACAGGAATCACTGTTTCTGTCATGGAATATGATAGTTCATGCTCTATACACGACTGGATGGTAAGCAAAGTCTGTCACTCTTTCGTTGTATGTCTTCTTGTCTACTTATCTCATGCTATGAGTTGCAGGAGACAGTGAGGTCTCTAGAACACATTTCTCATCCCAATTTGGTAAAACTTTTGGGTTACTGTTGTGAAGATAATAAACCACTCTTGTTGGTTTTCGAATACTCGCACAGAGTAAGCTTGGACCGTCACATTTTCGGAGGTTATGATCTCTTTTCAATTAATAGGTCCATTCTAAAAATCTTTCTAGACAATTTTTGCTTTACACATTTCCCTCTCAACAGAAGAAGATGCATTGCCATGGGAAATACGGGTTAAGATAGCCATTGGAACAGCTCGAGGTCTTGTGTTTCTTCACTCGATCAAGAACCGCCCGCTAAATCGAGAACTCAGAATGCATAACATTATGCTTGACGAGGTGGTAATGGTTTTTATTTTTGTTCTTCTTTCTTTTTGGTTGTCATCTCAAGAAAATTAATATCTTGAGTTTGGATTTCAGCAATACAATGTTAAATTGTTATATCTTGAATCAGACGAACAGTATCGTTTGGTAGATGAAGGTCAAGTTGCGGGAATATTTAGATGCCCACCTCCTGAAATTTGGTCAGGTGAACCAAAATCATGACTTTGGTTTTACAAATTCTGATTAACCTTTCATTGTTCAATGTTGTGAAGACACTTGTGTAATGTATGCAGGTAATTTGGGAATGGAGTCTGATGTTTACATATTCGGTGTGATCTTGCTTGAGCTTTTAACTGGTTCAACACACAGCAACATAATCAAGTACAAGCAACGCTTAGGTGTCTGCAGACTCTGCTCTACATCTACCCTGCCCCATAATTATAAGATTGCGGACATAATCGATCCCCGACTTGGGAACTATTATTCCGTGGATGCGGCGATACAGATGGGTACACTCATCAACAGATGCACCGAGAAGGATACCAAGAAACGACCATTGATGAAACAGGTTTTGGATAGTTTGAATGATATTGCAGAGATTAAGGATTAATGTGTAGAGGTAAATGCTATTTTACATTGACAAAGATAAGGGTTTACTTGTAATAAGTGGAAAATCAGTACAGAAGTGCTGAGACTAAAACTGGTTAACAGTGAAGCTAAACAAGAAGCATATTTTAACTATTTTTTCTCTGTGATAGATAGCCAAAAAGAACTAAAACATAATCAGTCATTGTAAACTATGACAGAGAGTGATAAACAAAACTGGAGCCTATGAGACTCTGAAAAAAGTTAAAGACTCATCTTAGATGTTTTGCTGGGATATAAAGTAAGCCATTGACGATAATAAGATCACAAGCATTGCAATGAGAATGTACTTGGATCCAAGAGCGCCAACATCCAATCTCCTTACACTTCCAATATCTGATTTTGATTCTGTTTCTTCCTCCTGCAAAACAGTGACCGACATCACTTTTTATAAGGTCTTTCAAGAACAAAGTATATATTCAATTTTTCTATCTAAAGCTAAAGGGTAGAATTCACTTAATGCCTGCAAAATCAGAATTTTAGTAAGGAAGAATTAATATACCTTTGGATTTATTACTGAAGTGATGGTCGCTTGAGGTCTACTTTCTTGATGGCAAGAAGAAGCATTCTGGTCAGAATTTGGTGAAACTTCACTCCCATTGCCACTTTCCATATAACCGGTTTTTCCAATCTTTTTCAACTTCACCATCAACACACAATTCTCTCTTGATAAGTTTGTTATCTACAAAAGAAAAAAAATCTATATCTAAGCATCCACTATGATGATGATGAAGCTACAAATGACATGAAATAACACCAAATTTGGGGTTGTCAGCATAGTTAACGTCTTAATACCTGTTTATGAAGTCGTTCTCGTTCAGCAGCAAGTTGCATGACTAGTTTTTTCATGATCTTGTTATGTAAAGCAATATCTTTAGCGGTCCGGATTTTTCTTTCTTCTGCTTGCTGTAAATATTTCTCCCCTTCTTTCAATTTAGTTTTAAAGAATTTCAGTTCTTCACTGAGTTCTGCATTAGATTCAGATACCATAATCAACTTCTCTTCTGTGTGGTCCGCCCTGTTTTCGGCCTTCAAAACTTTTGATTTAAGATCTTCAATTACATCCTCCATATCAGAAACAGTAGAATATAACAAGCTCTGCTTCTCTTTACTTGCTTCAACAGCTGCAACTGCATGTTCTAGTTGAAGATCTGAATCCTTCAAGTGTTTCTCAAGCGATGCTAACTTCTCTAGAGTAAAGCCCTTGTCTCTGAAAGTCCCCAACTCGTCTTGAAGCTCCTTTTTGCTTTCTTCTAAGATTTTGCACTTTGATTCTGCTTCTTCAGCCCTTGCTTCAGTTTTGGCTAATTGATCTTTCAGTTCCTCGTTAACACGTTCAAGATCTGTTATCCGAGCACCAGAAGTAGCATCCGCATCTCCAGTTTGAAGCCCATATTCATTCAGTTGTTCTTCAAGGGAGCTAACTTTTTCACTTAATGTGGAATTTTCAGTGTTCAACAGAATCATTTTTTCCTCAGCTTCTCTCAAACTCTCTTTTAAGCCTTCTGTTTGTGCCATAAGAAAGTCATGAAGTCTTGCATTGCTGCTATCAAGCTTGTGCAAAACGATTTCCTTAGCTTCTAATCGTTCCTTTGAATCAACGAGCTCTGACTTCAAGTTATCTTCCCGCTTAAAAGAGCCCCTTAGATTGAACTGAAGAATCTGGAGTTTTCCAGACATTTCCTTTGCTGTTCCCTTAAAGACTTCAGCAGCATTATCTGCCTCAAGCCACCTCGAGAACGCATCTTCGGTTACTTCTTCCATGTAGACAACATCCTGCTCGGAAGAATATAGTTTCATCTCTAGTTCTCGTTCAGTATTTCTTGATTCACTAAGTTTCTTTTCAAGTTCCATCTCCTTAGCCAAAGATTTCTCAAGCATCCTCAAAACATTCCTTTGCTGATCTGCAGTCTGCATTTTGATCTTAGCGCTCAGATCACCAAACTCACCATCGTTTTGAGACACTGCAGTTTGCCCTCCAGACCCTGCCAAAACAAAGTTAACATCACTTTAATCAAAGCCTGAGAATTGTCTGCAGCTATAGTCATCATGACAATGTTTAAAGAAAACTGAAATGGATAGGTTCATGTCACTTACAGCTTCCAAATTCATCCAAACCAGAAGACAACCTCTGAAAGTATGAAGATTGCTTCTTCATTTCCACCACTTGGTCCATTAACTGACCCAAAGATTGTTCAGCATCGTGCAACTTGCCTTCCAAGTCCGAGAAAGCTTCTCCATCATGTTGAAACGGAGATATCATGGCACGAGCACTTTGAATCTCATTCTGGAGAAAACCAAGAAGAGACTCAAGTTCTTTCACCTCTGAATTGAGAATTGAAGACAAGAGATCAAACTCCAAAGCCTTCTCAGCAGAATCATCATTATCGTCACCATTACTCGAAGGCTCTTCTTCTTCTTCTTCTTCTTCTTCTTCTACTTTCTTAGAAACAAAGGACTCAAAATCATTTTCCCTCGTGCCAAGTTGCATAGTAAGAAGGCTTAGATTGACCAATTTCTCAGAGATAAAAGCAAAATCCAATTCAACTTTCGTCAAAACTTCGCCTGCACTTGACAGTTGTGGATTCATAACTTGCCCACTAAGCGAGAAATCTTCAAAGAAACATTCTTTTGTTGAACTAGGCTCCGGTACGAGGCTGTCGTTATCATCGACAGAGACAGTTCTATGATGTTCCGTTTCTGTCTCCATCATTCAATTTATAACTGCAATAGAGAAAGCATGGATTTTTGTCAACAAATTGAATAAAAAGACCTGAAATGAGAGGTTTTTACTAGATGCAACGATCATGGCTCCTACTAAATCATAATCCTGAAAAAAAATCTAAAGTAAAAGTTCCGATCTTTACTTATGCGATCGACTTCTTTGAGATTGACGGAAAACGAATGAAAAGGTGAAAACTTACATGTGAAAACGAAACCACAGGATTCAGATCAAACAAGCAAAATGATCGAGAGCGACCAGAGAGAGAGAGAGAGATAGACAAAGATCGAGGAGAAGAAGAAGAAGAAGAAGAAGAAGGAATCAGGGTTTGTAATTAAACGAATATTGACAGTAACTCTTTACTAATTTTTAAAGGAAAGCTTTTTTAATTAATGTATTGACTCAATCAAGTGTCCAAAATACACGTCTCTGTTCTATATTTTGTTTGTTTCCAGATATGTGACATGTATCTGTTAATACCAAATAGAGAAACTAGTAGCTGTATGTATTATTAAAACCTGACCAACAACGACAAATTGAGACTCTGTAAAAAGTGGGGAAACCGTGTAAATAAAAAGTAATTGACTTTATTTTGGTAATCTTCGTCTCTTACATTTACAACGTACGTAGCAGATTACTCTTCCAAAATCAGAATATCATATTTCTTGAATTCTGAATATATTATCTACAAATTTTGTTTAAGAAACTTGATAATTAACAACGATCATTCTCACCCCTCTTAATAAGTCATAAATGTGATGCCTCTTTATGTCTCTTCTTGTGAAGGTTAAGCTAGCTCATGAGGAGCAATGCTTCGCGAGTTCGGCCCAAAAGACTCAGCGCGGTTGCTGCTATGTGATGTCCAGTTAGCCCAGCAAGAGCAAGCTGCTCGCTAGGCGAAGCTTCTTCTATGTAGCCATCTGGTAATACAATCGGTCTCCACTACCAATGTTTGATCCCAAAAAAGCAAATCAGAAACCAAAAAGATGAGAATTTTAAAAGAGATACAGTTTTGATTTTATCTACCTTGATGTTTCCATCGAGCTGGCCATCGAGGGCTATGAACTGGGCCACATGAGAACCAAATCCTCCAACACTGCCTTCTTCGACAGTGATAAGGAATCTGTGGTTCTGGCATAGATCACGCACAAGCTTGATGTCGAGGGGTTTGCAAAATCTTGCATCAGCTACAGTCACGTTCAGACCGAGTTTAGAGAGAAGCGAGTGAGCATGCAGACAATTCTGAACCATGGCTCCATACCCAAGCAAAGCCACATCTTGACCTTCTACGAGAACTCTTCCTCTTCCGATCTACTCTAATATGATAAAGCGGTTCTTGTGTCAGCACACTCTGTTTTCGCAACAAAAGATTTTAAGATTAGATTGGAACTTACTTCAATTGGTAATCCAATGGGGACGAGATAATTCCTGTTGACAATGGAGCCTCTAGGGAACCGGAAACAAACTGGCCGGTCAGTGATGTAAGCTGCAGTTGCAACCATATTTACAAGCTCATCCTCATCGGCAGGAGCCATGGCTATCATATTTGGTAAGGATGACATGTAAGCTATGTCAAAAGCTCCACACTGCACTGGACCATCAGAGCCAACAAGCCCTGCGCTTGTAATAACAAATCGCACCGCCTTTCTTTGCCTATCTACATCATGGACCACCTAACGAAACCATCAAAGACACTAAGGCCCCTTGCTTCTAATAAAACCTTCTAGAACATTCTTACTCTGTCCGAATGAGATGGAGAAAGAGGTGAAACCTGGTCATAAGCTCTTTGTAGAAAAGCAGAGGGAATAATGCAAAACGGCTTCAGACCTCCAGAAGAAAGACCAGCGGAGAATGTGACAGCGTGCTGTTCAGCCATTCCGACATTGAAAAACCTGTCTGGAAATCTCTCCTGAAATGTAACAAGTGATGCATCCATCTCCATTCCTGCATGAACCACAACAATATCTCTATCCTTTTCTGCCTCCATCACTAAAGCCTCCACAAAGCAATCACTGTAAGTGCGCCTGTCTGAGACACAAAACAACAAAATAAACTGTCAGTGTCAAGATTTGGATAGTTGTCAAGAAATAATAAAAGCAGAGATACCTTTGACCATGATCTTGTTTCCAGTTTCTGCATCTCGGTTTTCCTCTGTGATCACGTGGACCAACACAGGACCCATTGAATCTAGAGAAGATACTTCTCGGAGAACACAAACTAGATCTTCAATGTTGTGTCCATCAACAGGACCAATGTAGTACAAACCAAGTTCTTCAAAGAGAGTTGATCCTGTTGGTCCAACCATACCACGTGCATACTCATCGACTTTGGCTGCCCATTCATACATGCCCTTTCCGATTTTTTTTGTCATAGCCTGTCAAAATCCACAGCAAAAAAGAAATAATCGAATACCATTAATTGTTGAACATCAAAGTTCCAGCCTCAAAATTTCAACCATAAAGAGAGTATGAAAAATGCATACTTTGGCTAGTTCTCTAAATTTACGGAAAATTTTGCTAGACTGGATTTTGCTCATGATGCTAGATAGTGCGCTGATGGATGCCTTGGATCCCTCCTCCATATTTGGATGTAAAGAGTGACGGCTATCATTTAGTATGACAATCATATTAGAATCCAAGTAACCAGCATTGCTCATTGCTTCATATGCTTGACCAGCAGTTATTGTCACATTGTCTATCACAGCAACAACCCGGTCTCTCTTTCCTTTTATATCTCGAGCAACCGCTAATCCTAAGAAACAAAATTAATTGTTCACCACACCAAATCGATAAATAGCGTTCAGGCTAAGTCTACTTCTTGTTTTAGGGGGAAAAAAGGCTATAGGAAACTGACTCTTTAACAAAGGGTGACAAAAAAATTACCGAGCCCAGCAGAAATACTGTTGCAGCCATGCCCGGCCCCAAAAGAATCATATTCACTCTCCAATTGAGAAGTGACCCCAGAAATACTGTTCTTTTGTCTCGATGGTATTGCAGACCAACGTCTTGTCAAAACTTTATGTGCATATGTCTACAAAAGCCAAACCAAGCTATTAACACAACAAGAAAACACATCAAACATAGGTCCAAAGCACAAACGAAATCAGATCATTAGTCCCTTGAATTTCGAAACATAAGCTTACTTGTTCCACATCATCCCACAATATATTGTCAACCGGAGCACGAAAAACATAATGCAGAGCAAGGGTAAGCTCTATTGCAGCCGAGCTAGGGTTCATAGACTTTTGGGTCTTCTTCCATAATACAGAATGAAACTCCGTACGGATTTCATCAGCTAATAGCTTCAACTCCTAAGAAAAAAAAACAACAACTTCATCAACCCCAAGCCCTTTCAGTGATCATTCAACTACATATGGCATAAGAACATCGATAAAATTACCTTAACACTCAAATTCTTCAACTGCAAGGGAGTTTCAATGCTGTCTAGTATTGGCGTCTCAAATATCTCATCGCAGTACTCATCAGTATTTGGCAAAGAACACACCGGAGCTCGATTTATACATTCCTGGATATCAAAACGCCTACATTAGGAGAATCCACCAACTAAAGTTGATCTAAATGATAGAACTCTTGAGACCCAGATTTAAAAGTTTGGAACTTTTGTGTTATTGGCATAAAAGAGATTAAGAGAAATAACCAGAAACGGTTCCCCCCTTTACCTTGTGAGTGGAGGAGCTTGGAGCTGAGAATAAACTCTTTCTGGAAACATCAGCTTTACATGGAAGCGAGGAAATAGTAACATCCGACCTCAAATTAAAATTCTCGTAGAATCGAGCTGAGATGCCGAATTGGTAACCAATCGCAGTCGAACCCATGAAGAGAAAGAAAGCCTCGATGATCAACTACAACGGACGAAGAAGAGAATTCTGAAGAAGAAATGAAAACATTACAAGGGAACCTCTTCGAACGAATTCGAAATAAATGCCGCGAAAAACGCCTACAAATGATGAGAATGGAGAAGCTTTTAGCGAGAATACAAAAAAAATGGAAAGAAGTGACAGAATCAGAATCCAGAGGAACTTGGTAGAGAGAGAAGAAGAAGAAGATGATGATTTAGTTGCTAACGTTGAGGCCTGGAGATATAACTTTAAGCCCATAAAGTTGGCTTTTTATAAACCCAATTACATTTTAGTTGGGCCTATTCAATAATTCTCCCTTCTAACAATCATCCTTACAGACAAGTTAAAAACATCAAAGAGCTCGTCTTTTTTTTAAGATAGAAAACACAAATCAAAATGAAATATTACTTTGTAACCTTTTTAAAACCTAACAAGATGTCTTGAAACCAGAAGTATCTTGTGAGTTCCATTTCCGGTTTTGAGAGCCATAGCGATTGAGAAACGAGCTTTTGAAGACATTGTAAAGCCTTTCAAACAACAACCTTCTTCATTTGCTTACCAGCCTCTCACAGTCCCTCTAATTTCAGGTACATCTCTGTTTTTTTAAAATGCACTTTACTATTGTTTACATGTAATGTTTTTTAAAAGAAAATACGTAACTCAATTTATGTATGTATATGGAAAAGTGGATTCACAAAACGAGAATCTGAGTCCTCACAAAAAAAAAATAGTATCTTGAGTTTTGGTTATCATCACAAAAAAATAGTATCTTGAGTTTTGGTTTCATCAGCAATACAAAGTAAAATTGTTTTATCTTGAATCAAACGATCAGTGTTTGAAAAATGAGACATTTGTGGGTACAGCTGAATACATACCTCCTGAATATTTCATTTCAGGTACACCAAAATCTTAAGTTTTGTTTTACAAATTCTGATTAATCTTTCATTGTTTATGTTAAGATAACTGTTAATGTATGTAGGTTGTCTTGGAATGGAGACCGATGTTTACGTATTTGGCATGATCTTGCTTGAGATTTTAGTTGGTTCCAAAGACAGATCAATAAATTTGCAGAATCGATTCTATGCTTGGACTGGATCTTTCTTGTCCGATAATCTGTTCCAAGATTATCCTGTGAATGCGGCACACTGATGGCATACTCATCCAAAGATGCACCAAGCGGGACAAGAAGAAACGACCATTGATGCAACAAGTTTGGGATGTTCTGAATTATATTGCAGAGATTAAGTCTTAATGCGAGATGTCCTTACATTGGACACAAGGGCATCACTGATAATGCTAGGTGTTTGTTCATTTGTAATAATTGAAAGAGTCAGTCTAGACTAAAACTGATAGAGTTGGGGGTGAACAATTGAAGACTTATTTAAAATCAAGAAGCATACTTTTAAGTTTTAAAACAGGTTTTCTGAAATCAAGAGTCGCTAAAAAAACAAACTCAAATAGAATCTGTCACTGTAAACTATGATAGAGAGAATAACAAAACCGGAGCCTATGAGATTCTTTATAAACTTTCTTAGATTTCTAATGAAGTCACCCACCTGTTAAATATCAGCTTTTGGGCAGAGTTTTGCTGCTGCAGAAGGCCAACTCTGAAACCAGTGCAATGTGATCGCTTCCCCATTTCTGTAACAAACCAGATATACAAACATGAAAAGGTATTGTAATCAGTTCAGTTAAAAAGGTACGCCACTATATAAGAAACACTATCATGGGATTTTACTGGAGTCGGGAAGCCTGGTGTCCACTGCATTGCTTCTTTTGGTATTGGAGCAAGCACACGCACTGTTTGAAGACCTTCCGACCGCCTAGCCCAAACAGAAAATCAAACATGAGAATATGTCAAAAGCGCATAATCCACAATAATGAAGTAAGGTTTGTCACAAATGGTTTTGCTTCTAATGCTAATACCATATGTAATCAACTGTCCCCATGAATAATCTGTGATAACTGGTCACTACAGGCTCTCCGTTTTCATCCCTTGTGTTTGCTTGACCCTAACCACAAATTTCAAAAGCTTCCTAAGAATATAATTTTTCAAGAAACAGAAGATAATAGGACAAAACTGTAGGGAAATATATCACAATACCTCCACTTCTGAGTAAGTGCTCTTAAGCTCCAGAGCGTGTTCAACCATCGTTCTCTCTGGGTCACCTGTTGCAGTTGCTATCTCCATTGGAGTCCAAGAGGATGGACTATAAGTGATTTTTTCACTATTAAAAGCTTCAAACCCTGATTTAAATGGAAGTTCATTCACAAGTTCCCCTTTTTGACTCAAGACTTCATTATTGTGTAGCTTAGCCAAGAAAGTTTCACTATCTTCACCTAAAGCTTCTTCATCTTGCGCGAATACTACTGGTTCGTCCAATGTTAAGCCATCTAATTTCATCTCAGCCATAGTAGTGTCAACCTTGGTGGAGAGACTAGATGAAATATCTTGATCACTGGAACATATTTCCTCAGGAGAATGATCTGTATTCAAATCTTCTCTAGCACTGGAAGCATGTTGAGGTTCTGTATCTAATATGGTTACAGTAGAAAGATCTTCCGCTATCGAGAGATTTCCAGAGTCATCAGGTTTTCTGTTTTCTATTCCAAAATTACAATCTGTGGTGGCTTCGTGACCAGCAAGAATTGTATCACCACAAGGAAGCTCAGATGTCTTTTCGGAGGGGGCCTTTCCAACATCTATGTTATAGTTATTCTCCAAATGAGCATTTGTGATTGAATCTGGTAGTTGAACTTGACCTTGTGGAGATTCATTGGCAGACTGAAACCTGGAAAATCGAGGAGGCCTATCAACCATGCTGACAATTGCAAAAACAGAGTAGTACTCGAGATTCTAGGGTAAACATGGAGCTGTTTAAGTTGCAAAACAAGATACATAATGATGTCAAAGAACTTGGTGAGTTCGTGCTCTACCTCGTCGTATAATTTTCTGGCCTTGGTGGACGAAACTCAGCAGAAACTTGCCCTGAAACTTTGTCTCTGGCCAAACCAGACAAATCCAACTGCAGAGAGCAGCACAAAATACCATGTGAACCATATATATAATGTTGCTAATAGGTAAAGGACTTGCTGAACTATGAAGCTTTACCTTCCGGTCTGAAATAAAGTTGTACAAATGACTCTGCAACCAGGTGGAAGAATGTTATAACCATGTCACGAAAAAAAAAGTTTTTTTGGGTATACCAACTGGTTAAGGTAAGAATGCCCTACCTTAGGTGTACAATTGAAATCCCCACAAAGAACAATAGGTGCATCATCCCATAGTTTTGAAACAGCATGAGCTTTATCCAAGAGTGTCCTTACCTACGTCACAGAGATAAATACATAAATGGAAACTGTTAAACAATCCAAGTTAAGCAAGGGGCGAAGTGTTTTGTTTCAAAAGTTTAATCTCAGACAAGTAAACATGTTCATAGAGTTCAATCAGAGAGTAAAACTGTTGTTTGGCAAAAGATTTCTACAATTTAGAATATGGCATTAAAGGAAAGTACCTGACCAAGTTTAAAGTCTCCTCTTTTAGGATTAAAAAGCACGTGAATGTTACAAATGACAACTCGGTGGGAACCAGCAGAGCTGCAAAAGATATTGGCAATTCACTTGAACCCACCCACAAAGTACAGCCCATAAAGAAAACCACTGAAATCTGAAGAAAATCAGCCATTCCTAGTAAATGGCAATTATCCATCCATAACATACTATGATAGTAACCTATATAGATTTTTCAAGTTACCTTTCAGGTGGAGGGGTCTCATTTTCTTTTGTTCGTGAGATCACCAGTGTCTACAAAGAGCAAATTTAATTTAGGGTAAAGCGGCAAACGTATGTAAGTCACTATTACCATAAGATATATATATATATATATATATATATATATATATATATATATTACCTCAAGCACACAAATTTGAGCAACATTATCCCGAAGACCAAGTTGATTGAATTGGATGCTTTCCTCGTGTACCAACTTGAATCTAATATAATAACAATGAGATTCCATACAAGATTCCAGACTGAACGACACAAGGAAGAGCAAGGGAATCAAACCTATTTGATCGCCAAAATATTGCACAGCCGTCAACAGCATTACCAGTCCGCATCTACATTTTTATCCAAAAGAGTTAGCCCCACATCTGAAGCCTCGTTCTTAGAAGCTTTGATATGAACCATTTAATTTTTTTACTCAAGAGAGTCAGTGGAGATCACAAACTCAAAAATCAAAATCACCATCTTTAAACAAAACTAAGCAATGCAGGTGACTCGTAAGAAAGATCATTAGCCCCTGAATATCTTTCAACAACATAGACGTACCTTCCAAATGCCACAATATCCCCGATGCTTCATCTCCTCCTCTAAGTCCTGAAATTTATCAACTTCCTGACAAATGCAGAAAACATTAGATTACTGAGCATATTGAAGATACACATATATGATGAAATTTAACCTTTTACCAAAAAAAAAAAACTATAACCTGAAGGCACATTATATCTGCAGACCATAGGCCAAGCTCGAACACTAATTTTCTCTTTCTCCATCCCCAACTCAACATATTCCTCGGAATGTGAAAGTAAAGACTTCTCCAATGATCATTTGCAAGGTAATCCGCCAAGATATTATACGATAGAACAACAAACTTTTCTGCACAAAATAAAAAGTAAATCAAATTGCATAAACATAGCAAGTGGCGTGAAGTTGAATGAGATAACTTACCGGAGCCAGGAGGCAGTGGCGGTTTGGCATATTCCCATTCACGGTAATCTGAAGGTTTTGACCGTGGCCGTTGACGGAAGCTCCGCTGCGGAGGCGGCCGAGACATCTGGTTTTGATAGAAAGAAGGGGGAGGGCATGCCGCATAGTTTTGATTGGATGGCAAATGATTAGGTTGACGAAATTGTTGCCACTGACCTCGAGACGGCGGCGGAGGCCGAATTCCGTAATTTTGATTGAACGGCGGTTGCTGCCGCTGAGCTAGCGGAGGCTGATGTTGTCGATAAGGTTCACCATGCCGGAATCGGAGATTGGCGTCATGAACTGACTGAAAATGTGAGTCTCCAGTAACGAACTGGTCTCTTCCCGAGTCATTGTTGTACGGACGATCGGAGAAACTCCTCCCACCTCGGCCTCGTCCTCGTCCTCGGCCTCCTCTGTACTGCTCCGTAAGAAAAAAAATATCTTCCATTAACCGAAGCAACGCAGCGAGAGTGATACGAAAAGAGCATGGCTGAGGAAATTTACCGGAGCACGAGTAGACATGGCGAAGATTGGAGCAGAGATAGTGGAAACGTCAACGAAGGCAGCGTCGGAGAAAACTTGGACAATAAAACGAGAACGCCGCATTGGTCAGTCGAATCGAGTGAGTAAGAGAAGTAGAGAACGACCTCGCGGTGCTTAATTGCAGAGGCGAATCAGTCCGACGAACGGAGATATTTAGACAATCGTGCCGTTTGTCGAATCTAGAGGTACACAACTCTCTGTTTTCACTGTGAATTAATGGCACGCAAGGCCAGAGTCATTTCGACTTCAGTTACTTTCTTCAGCACTTTACTCAAATTGATATGTTTAGTAATAAAGAGTAAAGACCATCTCATTTGATCAAACTCCGAAGTCGCAATTACAGACACGATGATACTGAGTAAGTAAGAAAGCTTTGAGTTGCAAAATTAAAACTTCTCCAACCAAAAAGGTCCAAAACCAGAGAATTCATGTAAGAATTGAAGTATATAGCCAGGAATCTATAAATTTCGAATCAATAATAAACTTTAAGGTCAACAAAACAAGCAAAATTCGGGAACCGCTGACTCGTCATAACATTAATAGATCTTGCATTGAACAAACAAAGAAACTGGGGAGGAATGGCTTCCCTAAGTTGGGTATTTTCCATCATTTGTTGGCTTCAGATTGAACAAAGGACTTGGTGACAACGTAGCAGTCTCTTGGTTCAATGTTGATGTAATAGTTTTGTATGGTCTCTGTAATCTCAAACCCAAACTTCTTGTAGAACTTGATCGCTTCTTCATTGTTTGTCTGCACGTGCAAGTATATCTCACACATGTTTTGCTTGGAGCACATGTCAAGAACATGATTCAATAGCTTTGAACCTGCAAATTACCACACAAAAAAAAAAACAAGATACGCAAGTTATAGACATAGAGTTTTCCTTTTATAAAAGGATGGGAATTCGATCTTAAATCTTGATGTATGAGGAAATCATTGTCACTATTTCCAGTTTCTCGGTAAAACAACGATATGCATAAAAACTAAGGACATTTTTTTTGGTGGTTTGAATCTCTAAATAGAGAACTACAAATAAACATACTACATCTAATCTCATCTGTTAAAACGTAAGGCAAACAAACAGTATCAAGATTCAAGTTTGGGATAGAAGATTTATGACTTACCAATGCCAATCCCACGGTATGGTGCAAGAACACCAAGCGTCATTATATAAACTCGCATGGCTCCACCTTCTTTCTTTTCCAGCCGACAAGCGATGGCTCCAACACATATGTCACTGTAATATGCTGAGGGGAAGTAAATCCATTATTAGAACATGAAGAATTTTCCTTGTCTCACAAAATTGAACACCAAGAACATAACTACCCAGAGAACAGCAATGAAATAGTTCGTGCCAAATTCAAGATGTTGTTAATAGTCTTTAAACTTTCATATCACTTATTGTAAATTTCAAAAAAAAAACTGGTTGGCGCAAAAGAGGTTCCAACCAAGTATTTCACAGAAGGGAGTAAGTGAGCATTAAGAAATTCTGTGAATACGGAAATTAGCCTTGGACCATGTTCTCGAAATATAACAACACAAAATAAGTCAATAAGCAATTGATTACAAGGTACAAATGCTTAACATTCAAAAAACTTTGCTTGGTTAAACAAATAATGCAGTATTCATATAGTAAAACAGGTTAAAATAACGACAAAGATGATACATTATCCACATCTAATGTCTATCAATAATAAAGTTCAAACAAGAATCAGTATTTATGAAACAACAAACAACAGAAAGCAACTAAACTGATCGATTCAAGGCTTAGAAAGAAAGCTTATACCAATATTACAGATAAAACCATCTTCTTTCTAATTTCAGACACTAGTGCTGGACCTAAAATAAAACACGGCTCAGTCAAGAAATTTCACGGAACCAAAAAAAAGAAGAAGACAAGACTATAACCAAACCTTTAACAATGAACAGTGAATTGACTAAACAGACAACCAAAGCAAAGCAGGATTGCAAAAGTTACTTCTTTATAGAATGTACCAAGGCTAATCTCACAGAACAGTACATCATAAACCCCCAAAGCAACTAACTTCCCCTATTAAAGGAAGAGACTAATGCTCACAAGACAGTAAAAAAAAAAAACATAACACAATCCGATGATGAATTACGATCCTGATTGAAAGGCACATTCCCATGAAATCGCAATAGAAGAGACAAACCAAGTTTGGTGAATTCGCCGGAAGCGATTGCATCGGCGTAGTACTTGTCGTTGTACCGAACCGGGAACAGAACCGTGTTGAGCTTCTTAAGCTGCATCAAGTTTTTGTCTCTGACTCCATCTAGCGATACGCTGACTTCTCTCCCAGCTCCCATCGCCGTCGCCGTCGAACAATCTAGAAAATTCGACGTCGTTCGGACAGAGAAATTATAAAATCAAAGGGAAAGCTCGGGATTTAGGGGAAAAATAAAAATAAACAAAACTATAAATAATGATGATAATCCCTACGGGAAACATATTATTGGGCCTAGATCAAGCCCATAACAGGTAACCTTGTCACTTAAGGGAAGGTTGGTGAACAGTGTCTTTAGTTTCGTAGTTGCATATTTTACAAAAATTCGTATAACGAGAACTGGTTCTGCTTTTCAAGATCATGTTTTAGCCAACTCTAAATCTGAGAAATGGAAATTTGTCTATTATGAAGGCAGATAATGCTTTTTTCGATCATGAAGGCAGATAATGATTATTGCGTTTACTTTTACAAAGACATAATTAAGGAGTAATAGAAAAGGTTGCACTTGTATCCCAAGTTAAAAACAGCAAAGAGCTTCTGCGTCATCTTCTAACTAAAGAGAGCTTTCTCACCGCGCGGTTAAGATCATACTCAGCATGAGAAGAGTGTCATACCCCGTTAAGGAAAAGCTAAAACAACTGCAATAATTCCATGATGTCTTCATCACGATCGTTCATCAATTCCATGAAATCAATCCTCTTAAGGTTACAAAAGATCTTCTTCTAATCAGAGATTTATGAAGAAGAAGAGGATTACTTTCATGGCGGGGTCGTCCACGGAGAGAAGTTGAGAAGACCAGACCAGTGATCAATTCGATTTAGGTGAATCAATCACTAGAACAAAATGGTTTGAGAACCCTATTTATATTATCAAATAATTGGGCCGTAACCTATTTGTTGGGCCTGTAATAAGCCCACATTGTTTTAATCTTCTCTGTCACCTACTGAGGTAACGTTAAGTTAAAAAAAAAACACTTTATCGTGAACTTTTTAATTTGTGAAGCAGAGATGGGGGAGAAGAAGGGGAAAGCGATCATAGTAGGAGGGAGTATAGCAGGCGTATCGTGCGCACACTCGCTCACGTTAGCAGGCTGGGATGTTTTGGTGATCGAGAAATCTTCCGAACCTCCGGCTCGGAGTCCTACTGGTGCTGGGCTTGGACTCGACCCTCAGGCTCGCCAAATCATCAAATCTTGGCTTCCTCGTCCACATCTGTTAGATGAAATCACCTTGCCTCTCTCGATTGATCAGGTAAAAAGAACACTTAGTTTTGTTCAAAAATTGGAAACAATCGGAGTGTAATTTTCCAGCTCTGCTGAAGTTTTGTTTTGTTTATAGAATCAGGCAACTGATAGTGAGAAGAAAGTGACGAGTATTCTAACAAGAGATGAGGATTTTGATTTTCGAGCGTCATATTGGTCAGATATTCACACTCTTCTGTTTAACGCATTGCCTCAATCCATGTTTCTATGGGGACACAAGTTTCTGTCTTTCACAATGTCACAAGATGAGTCTAGTGTAAAGGTTAAGACTTTAGTTATGGAAACTCAAGAAACCGTTGAATTCCAAGGGGATTTGCTCGTTGCAGCAGATGGGTGTTTGTCTTCGATTAGGAAAACATTCTTGCCTGACCTTAAATTGAGGTTTGAAATGAGACTTTGGTCTTCATTTTTTCAATACAATATGGAATCAGGCATATATTTTGTGAACTGGATCATATAGGCTTTTGTTTTGTTTTTATTTCTCGAAGGTTTTCTGGTTATTGTGCTTGGAGAGGTGTTTTTGATTTCTCGGGGAGTGAGAACTCGGAAATTATTACTGGAATTAAGAAAGTGTATCCGGATCTTGGAAAGTGCTTGTATTTTGATCTCGGTGAACAGACTCATTGCGTGTTTTACGAGCTTTTTAACAAAAAACTCAACTGGATTTGGTATGTCAATCAACCAGAGCCTGACCTGAAGGTAAGAAGACTTTTCATCTCTGTCTTTTTTATTAGAATGCGTTTTAAGTAGTTTTCGTGATTCGACTTTGTTGTTGTTATGGAACTACGATATCAGGGCAACTCTGTTACTCTAAAAGTGACCCAAGAAATGATCAGTAAGATGCATCAAGAAGCAGAAACCATCTGGATCCCGGAGCTGGCGAAACTCATGAGAGAAACAAATGATCCTTTCCTTAATGTTATTTACGACTGCGACCCTTTAGAACGAATATTCTGGGGAAACGTCGTGCTAGTTGGAGACGCGGCTCATCCCACGACCCCTCATGGTGTAAGAAGCACAAACATGTCGATTCTTGATGCGGAAGTGCTAGGAAAATGCTTGGAGAAATGTGGGCCTAATAATCTAAGCTTGGGTCTAGAGGAATATCAGAGAATAAGATTGCCTGTTGTTTCTGAGCAAGTTTTGTATGCCAGGCGTTTGGGACGTATCAAGCAAGGTCTGGATCATGAAGGAATCGGTGGGGGCGGTTTTTCTTTGGAGCAGAGAAACATGCCATTCTTTTCTTGTGCCCCCCTTGTCTAGTGATGAATATTTGATGTAAGATATGTTGTATTTGTGTGTTAGTAATTGTGTATTTAACATCCCCTGAAGAGATGAGCATAACATTGTGAACGTCAATATAGAAACTATTGAATACAAGCTTTATAAAACTGATGAAACAGTTGTGTTTTACAGACCCCAAGCTGGTGGAAACCACAAAGCATGAGGGAAATTTTTTTTTGTCAAAAAAAAAGAAAAAGAAATGCGTCTGCCGGGAGTCGAACCCGGGTCTATTGCTTGGAAGGCAATTATCCTAACCGTTGGACTACAGACGCTACTGTTCTTGTCTTATGATTTTATTTATTTATTTTTGTGTCACATAATGCATAAGATGTCACTATAGCTATTTTGTTGATTCTTGCTGTCTTGCATGGTGGATATTGGATACTATTTTTAGACCATATTGTTATATTTTGGGACAACTATACATGTATTACACACCTTGTTCTATTGTCCGTTATGTAGAAAAACAAAAACACTGATGTGTATCATGTGATGCGTCACAGTCGGGATAAGATATTATGTATTAAAAAATACCATGTTTTCCTAATCACATTTAACATGACCTTGCAATATAAACTATAGAAAAGTGAAAAATCAGTCTTTGGATTTTTAATACCATAATATCAAATCCCATGTATTAATCTAATTGTAATAAATCAATGACTTATGTCGGTACATGATTTACTTGAATACTTACGCATACTGGATACAAAATGTCAAGGGTAATATATTACATATCAAATTCACGTTGAAGCTATACCAGCTGTCCAAGTAAACATGCGTCTATGGTATATATATAGAAATGGTTTATAATTAAGTGTGGTCATGTAACTATGGTGAGACAAATTGAGGCTGAGGGCAAATTCAAGCCTGACAGAAAAATTCCAAAGAGAATACTGAGTCGGATAATGCAGAAGGAGAAAATGGAAGAAGAGGCCAGAGGAAGATGACGTTTTTATGGGACCGTTAATTCTTTTGTCTACATTGTAATATTCATATTTTTGCCATTATCGATAGTTTATACAAGATTGCTGATGTTGATCCATCCAAGAACCACAATATTCCTCGTCTAACCAAAGGGACCATCGATACACTATGTAACATGCATATGAACGAAGTAGATTAGTAGTAGCTGATACACTTGTATTGTATAACTTGTATTTTTCTTCCAGCAGGCTTAGTCATGAGTCTAGGCTCTATTTAACTGAAAGTTAGGACCATTTTAATTAACAAAAGCACATGTATGGACCATTCTATTATACCAAGCATGCATATATAATGAGTCTATAGAATTTGTTTGATTTTGAAGTTATATATCTTTGTGTAAGAAAACATATAATTATCGTCCAAGTATTTTCAAAAGTTAATGTGGTTCTTAATTAGTCTATTACTAATGCACACCTGATATATCTTTTAAAAGGTAAAGTAGCGCAAAATATATTTTAAGCTAGATCTAACTTCTATTCAAGAACAAGAATTATTCTTTGGTTTACCTTGTAAATAAACTCAAGTATATTTGCAACGACTACTCTAACAAAAATGAAGTCAATCATCACAAATTGACAATAAATAATTGAGGTTTTTATTTGATTGGAGTAGACAAAACACTTGGGTCTATGTAATAATATGCATCGAGGTCAAAAAGCGTATATATAGCTTATGTTTCGATTAAATAATACCCCAAAAGTGTAGTTATACGTTTACGTGGGATATCGTTTACGTCTTAATCAATTGTGTGATATGGAATCCGTAATAAGGTCAAACCTTAATCAATGAGATGGGGATTAGCATGCACTTAATAATTAATCTACCGCTTAAAATACTAACATGCGCATACATTTCTCAATAAAATAAGTTCTTTTTCATTTTAAATAACATTGATGAAGTCCCATTCTTTCTCTTCCTCTTTACCCTATAAAATACATAAACTACATATGTATGTTACAAAAACAATTCATCTAAAACATGTGATTAATAATTAGCAATCACATTCTTTTGCTGGATGAATGAGATTCCAAAGATTTGGTTTAGTAATGATATCTCATAGATAATCTTTGGTTATTGTTCTATTTGCATATCAGCATATTGTTGCTTCGGAATAAAATCCAAAATAGAATTAAATGATTCATAATATGTTGCTTTGAAAAAGATGGCTTCGAATAAAAATATGTTAAATATTTGATAATGCAAACCGCAGAGGAGATGATATAGGGGAAGTGGAGGTCGGCTGCATAAGTTGACATTTAACGAAGGAGTGGTCAGTCATGCGCAAACTCAGTTACATTTTCCACATACATCTACTTATTAATTATGTGTTTGGTGCTATCCTCATTAATTGTGTTTGTATCTATATCATCCCTCCAGCCACACCAAAAAACCAATTAAAGTCTAGAAATTGTTATCTTTTGATTATATATCTTTCTTTCCCACGAAAATGAAGTCAGGCATAGAGAGAAGAAGCCTATGAGAGAAAACAAAATCGCTCACAAAGATGTATTGAGGTTAACAGTAGCTAGTTAATATATATAAGCCTTTTCTTATTCTACATATTGCATGTTGTTGACAAAAACTTATTCGAGTTTGTCTATCTCAACTGAATAACAAAAATAGAATAATGTTAGTTTAAGCTATGGGCAAACAACTTTTGATAAAATTTGTAAATGCAATTCATTTGTCTTTATATAATGCTTGAGCAACATATCTATAAAATCTACTATATGAAAAATTTGGAGACTTTATGTAACCTAGTTTTGATGAATGTTAAAACAACAAAAATTAGCAACATCGATATGAACTTAACAACTCAAAGTATATATATTCTTCGATGTTTCTTTAATATTTTCATAATCATACATGTACTAATCTATGCTATACTATAATTTCTGTTGGTTTTTAAAATTATATAAATTTTGGTAATAGCTATCACTCTTCTGTTGACTTTTGGATGTTTTATTCAAAGAATTTGATGATCTGAAAAAGATAGCAACATGAGTTTACACTATAGTTATACACGGCTTTCCTTAGCTTGTTGCTGAAGTCTGAAGATATAATTTAGCTGTAAAAAAGTTCAGTTTCACTATATTTTTAATTAAAAATGGATCCTCCATGAACACTTATGATGAAAAGAAGGTCAGAAGCCATTTAAATCTTTGTTAAAGTAAACAATATTTGACATGAATCTTCTGTTTTCCACTTATCTCATACGAACTTTCGGTAGAAGATTAATAATTATGAACGAATGTGAGGAAACACGTCAACGCAAATATCATATATACTACAATTAATATATTAAACGAATGTTCGTTTTTGTGTTTAAAGCCAATGTTTAGCTTTAACATCAAACACTGTTCTTTGTAGTAAACGTAAGACTGTTTTTTTTTTCTTCTTTTTGGTCTTAACGATAATAGTAATCATGTACTGGATCGCATTATCGCATTATCATAATTACATTATGAAAACCTTATAATAATAATCGGAGAGTCTTGGAATATAATACAAAAGGTTACTTCAAATAGAACATAAGTAAACATAGTGTAAAATATAGAAACATCGTTTATTATCATAACATCTCTAGATTTTTTTTTTTTTTAATGATGTCTATAATGTTTGCAATAAAAATGGAGTCATTAATCTTAGAAAAAAATAGTTTGACTAGTAGTAAAGAATCTATGGCAAAGATTTTTCCAGTGGGTTATATTTTAATATCTACAATACAAACCATTTTTTTCCTCTCTTAGACCTACTCTACACTCCCCCTACACTATACACACATCACAACACTTCTCTTCTTTCTTCTCTCTCTCCCACCATTACTTATTGAGAAACACACACACTCAAAAATCCTTTTCTTTTCTCTCACGCCTTCTCTCTCTCTCTCTATAGCATTTACACCTCATCTTACGCGGTCTCTTTATAATTTCCAACTTGGTTTCTTGGATTTTCCCGAGAAACAATCAAAACAAAGACCCTAAAACAGGACACTTCTTAGGTGCATGTGTGTTGTGATCGTCTGAGCAAGATAAAGACACTTTCTTCTTTTCTTCTTACTTTCTCTCACTCTTTTATTAATCGACATGGGCACTTGTAGAGAACTAGCGCCTAGTCAAATCTTCGTTCCTGGTCCGATCATCGTCGGCGCTGGTCCGTCCGGTCTAGCCGTAGCGGCTTGTTTATCAAACCAAGGCGTACCATCGGTTATCCTAGAGAGAACCGACTGTTTAGCTTCTCTATGGCAAAGAAGAACCTACGATCGTCTCAAACTCCATCTCCCTAAACACTTTTGCGAGCTTCCTCTTATGCCTTTCCCTAAAAACTTCCCCAAGTACCCTTCCAAGCAACAGTTCATCTCCTACGTTGAGTCTTACGCCGCTCGGTTTAATATCAAACCGGTTTTTAACCAAACCGTCGAGAAAGCCGAGTTCGATGCCGTCTCTGGTCTGTGGAACGTGAAGACGCAAGACGGTGTATACGTATCCACGTGGCTGGTGGTTGCCACAGGGGAAAACGCCGAGCCGGTGGTTCCAGATATACCCGGATTGAAGAAGTTTACTGGACCGGTAGTTCACACCAGTGCGTACAAGTCCGGTTCGATGTTTGCAAACCGGAAAGTGTTGGTGGTTGGTTGTGGAAATTCCGGTATGGAGGTCAGCTTGGATCTTTGTAGATACAATGCTCTGCCTCATATGGTAGTTAGAAACTCTGTAAGTATAAAAATTACTAATCATGCTCATTATCAAATTATTATAATCCATACTAACCGGGTCTAATCAAAGATTAATTTCAATGACGCAGGTACATGTATTACCAAGAGACTTTTTTGGTCTATCGACATTTGGAATAGCAATGACACTACTGAAATGGTTTCCTCTAAAGCTGGTGGACAATATTCTCCTACTTCTTGCTAATTCCACGTTGGGTAATACCGACCATTTAGGCCTTCGACGACCAAAAACAGGACCAATCGAACTCAAGAACGTCACCGGTAAAACTCCGGTTCTTGATGTCGGCGCCATTTCTTTAATCCGATCAGGACAAATTAGAGTAAGTTCATAATCTTTTTTTTTCTTATCCATCGTCTAGAATTAAAAGATTAGATATGTGAACAGGTTTTGCATGCGTGGGTTTGTACTTTATGTTTTATGAATATGTGGCTGATTTGTCTTGTGGTTATTAAAACTAATAATAGGTGACGCAAGCGGTGAAAGAAATAACAAAGAAGGGAGCAAAGTTCATGAACGGGCAAGAAACTGAATTCGACTCGATAGTACTAGCGACTGGATATAAGAGTAACGTTCCCTATTGGCTCAAGGTACTTAATCTCTCTCTCTCTCTCTCTCTCTTGCTACATATGAGTGATGATGATGAAATAATATATGTGATCCAAACAACAACAGACGCATGCAATTAAAAAAAAAAACTTCGTTTTCAAGAATAACGGTGATGGTGATGGTAAAATGATAAGGGTATATATATATATGCATGAATTATTATAAGGTATATAAACAAAAATAGTTTTTAGTGTTATCATTTAGTGAATCATCCATCGCTTTCTATGATATGGACATTACACATGCAACAAAGGGTACAACACTCCAAAACTCTTCTTTTCTCCATGCAAAATGGAATAAAAACTTGTTTTTTCTCACTATTTAAAATTCTCTATAAAAAAAACCCTGTTTGTTTATTTTTCATGTTTGTTTGTCTTGTCTCATCATCACCCAACCACACAATTTTACAGGAGAAGAGTTTCTTCACAAAAGAAGGAATGCCAAAAACGCCGTTTCCTAACGGTTGGAAAGGAGAGAATGGACTATACACGGTGGGGTTCACGAGAAGAGGACTCTCAGGAACAGCCTTTGACGCCGTTAAGATCGCTGAGGATATCAAAGACCAATGGATGAAATCCAACGGCCCGTTGAGTAGTTGTAGGAATGTTTGTACTTCCCATATTATCCATCTTCATTTCAATAAATCTTAATCATTTTTTTATGTTACTTTTTTTTTTTTTTGGTTCTTTGTTCTCAATTTTGTCTTGTTTCTTTCTTAATAATTATAGCTGATGAAGTTTGTTGGTTTTTCTTTGTTTATCTAGTCTTCCTCGGTGTTGTAAATTTTTGGTTATAATTTCTTGGCTGTAAAAATAAAAAATTTTCCTCTCGTGGCTTATAGTGCAATTTATGTAAAAATTGGTTATCAGACTATCGATAACATATTAGTAATTTTGCAAAGGTTATAAGAAAAATCACTATCACAATTCAATGATTTTTTCTTAACAACTCACGTAATATGTTTTCTTAGCGGATTATATACATCTGTATATATTATTTTGAATACGTTTATATATACCTTTCCGAATTTTGTTTTCATAACTAAAATAAAATGTTCTTGAATTTGATATGGTATGCTTCTATATATGAATAGGTAACGACATGCATACACAGTTATTGAAATATATATATATATATATATATATATATAATTTTCATTATTGTCCACAGTAGCCACTCTGAATTGTCCTTTAGATATTGGATGGAGTCCACAAAGATTTTACTTTGATAGATGACTACATCCATCAATTTTATATCTATGAAAAAATTAATCTAAACCATCTACGTATCTTGGATTTAAACGAGACAATACTGGAATTCTGATATTGTTCAACCGAGACTAATTAACTATCACATTCACAGTCAAGTTTTTTGAAAAAATTACAGCGTCGTCATCGTGGACTAGTATACTCTTTGTTCTTTAGGAAAAAAGATAAAAAAAAATAAAAAAAATAAAGGCTTTAATGCTTTATGGTAATCACCACATAATTATGGTTACTTTTGGTATACCGCTAGTTTTGTAGGTTCTTTCAATTTCCCAATTTCACACACGTCAAACAGTTGACTATACCTATGATTTAAATATTTTTGTAGAGCCTCATTGTCATTTTTTATTAATTAAAAATATAGGTTCATGATTTGGCCATCATTTTGACATATGGATAGATAGTGACGGAGTGATGACGATGACTTCGACATAAGTTTTTTTTTTTTTTTTACCATCAGTATTGTTTTCTTTTTAACATTTTGCCGATATTTAAGTGTCTACCTATTGGTTAGGAGTAGTAGTTAATGACTTAAAGCACTATTCATATTATTTTTTTTCCAAAAGATATTGTACTTTGAAGTCAGTCGATATTATTATTGAGTTAAATATGAAATGTGCTAATACGTAAAGATTGATCAGTTGTCCACGAGGACGACAATGATGGAGCTCTGACAGATTTTGGATCATTTCGTACGAGAACTATCAGACAAGATCTTTCTCTCACACTCTTTTATGTGTATGTTTACGTCATTAACATTACTTTTTTTTACGTAAATATATATATGCACACACACGAAGACGAAGAAGCAAATATTATTATTATTATTGTGTGCTTTGCCTATGTCTAATAAACGTCGTATCATCCAGATGGGTAAATTTTTTTTTTTTCAGATGGGTAAATTTTTAGTTAGAAGCAACATTTAATGTAGAAAATATTTATAGCTATAATGAAAAAGAGTTTTGAAAGTTGTGATGATTCTTTAATGATAGTTTTAAACAAAGGGGTCAAGTACGTATATTAGATACTACTGAGTTTAACAAAAGATTTTGTAACCCAAATTTTAAGTACTTTTTAGAAGATTCTTGCCTGAAATGTTTAGCTTGATTTTTATAATTTGTTGATTCTATTGACATATTTAAAATTTAGTCGACCCTAGAGTCACAAGAATAATAATCTAGCTTTTCAATGTATTATTATTATCTTTTTTGTTAAAGAAGTTGTAATATATTTTTTAAAAATTAATTGAAACTAACTGAAGTTGTTGAATTTTTTTTTTTTTTTTTTAACTCTTGATATATCATGATACTCTAACTAAGTGTCATTAAAAATTAATAATATTAGGCTAATAGCTATTTATTAACTACCACCAATGTTGAGTATCTATTCTATTGACCCATTTTCAATCACTATTTATTGGCTGACCAGTTGACATGTAATTTGAATTATAATTTGCATAATTCCAATGTATTGCTCTAGTTGAAAAGAAAATAGAAAGAAAGAAAGAAGTATTACTTACATTGCCACTTTTAAGATATCGTTTTCTTATTCATTCACATGGAATTTGAATCCCAAATTTGGGAAGTGATGATTTGATGATGATATATGAAAATATGATTGAGAACCTCGATTTCAAAACCCTAAAAAAAAAGAAGAAGAGAAAATAACTTAGAGGAAATACTACTAATAAGAGAAGAGTGGCCCCAAAACCTCTGAACACATCTCAGTGGCATGTTGCTTTTAAGAGCAGCTTGACCTTCGCTGACATATTATTTTTATTTTCTTACAAAACCAACAATTTTTCAAAACCTTAAGAGTTTTAATTGATTTCTAAAATAAATGTGCATCATCCTCTGTGGTTTATTACGTAGGCTTCATTGAAGAAGAGAGGGACTTCTCACTACCTCCTACGTCTTTTGATTCCCTCTGTCTCTCTTCTTTGTTTTTCTTCTTGTTTATTCACTTCACTTCTCTTATACTTTTATTTTACTTTATTTTCTTTTATTATGTTTTTAGCAACATTTCACTTTTGTTTGTTTATGGTTTTTGGTCCGAATGTTTCCATGTCGAATTTTTTACGTTTCCACTTATATGTCAAGTCTATGTAAGAGACTTCTATGATTTCAAGTTGCACGTGATCGAATTTTAGCAAGATTCGTTCTTATGTATACATACAATACACACACACACATACCTGTCAGAATGATTTATAGACAATATATTGTTTTACATTTTTTTGTTTTTTTGTTTGTCTGAATTCGATTTCGTTCCCGTTCTGTGTCTGAAAAGCTAGAACATGAAAAGGTTATATTTAAGATGAAATGGGCCTTGGAGTCGAGTACTACTAAAGAGCCCGTTATAAGCCCATTCTCAACCTCCGTATTCTGTAAACTACAAGGATGATCTCAATTCTCAAGACTCTCCCTCTCGCAGTAGTACTCTCACTTAAAACTCCCTTGCATCTCCTTGTTGTTCTTTCAGATCATCTATCAAGCTTTCGTCGTCACGAACAGCTTTCTTCTGAGTTCCACGCATCTTCACCAGTTTTCTTGGGTTTCTGCAACCCTTCAACACATCAGACATTGCTTCTGCTCTATGCAAAATAGACTTCCTTCTATCTTTATCAGGAGGCGCATCTACCGCTTCTCTGTATGTATTTGGCAGCTTCTTCGAGTGAGGAAGAGACGACATTATACTTGATAGTCTTTTCGCCATATCGGTCATCCCTTTCGATCTCAACCCGTTATCAATCATCTTGAATGTGATGTACTGTGGAATAATCCCTCGTCTTACCGCTTTCTCAAACTCTTCGTATGCTTCTTCCCACATGTCGAGTCTGCAGAGCAAATGAATCAGCATCGTGGTTGTTAATAGGTCAGGATCAATTCCTCTGTTTTTCATCTCCTTGTTCACTTGCATTGCCAAGCTCAGCTTCCCATCTTCGCACAGCATTTTCAAGATCAAATGGTATGTTAACCGGTCTGGACTATGCCCAGCTTCAATCAACTTGAAGTATAAGTTCATGCCTGCTTCCGTCTTGTTATGCTTTGAGAAATACTTGAAGAATTGGTTGTACGTAGTTGCGGTAGGATCAACTCCCCGTGTCATCATCATCTTGAGTATCTTGCTAGCACCAGCGAGATCTCCAGCCTTGCAGAAATTCTTCACTAGTGAATTATAAGTTACTATTGTAGGACCTGATTCGCAAACGAAGAACCTCTCCATCATGCCTAGCGCTTCTTGTAACCGACCAGCTTCCCCTAAACCATCAATTATAGGATTAAAGACCATAAAATTGAGTTCCATTTCTGCCATCTTCATTTCTTCAAGAACATCCATAGCAATCTCAACACGACGCATCCTGCAGTACCCTTCTATGAGGGTACCGTAAGTAACAACAGTTGGCTTCACATTCATTGCTTTCATTTCTTCCCACAACTTCTCAGCCTGCTTTAGCTTTCTTGAACGGAACCATCCATTCAGTAATATGTTGAAAATCCGAACAGAAGGAACCCAATTTGAATCCATCATCCCACGTATTCCCTCCAAATACATAGAGGCATCTCTAACATGTCCTTCTTTACAAAGTGCATCTAACAAAACCTCAAGCAACTTAAGTTCCGAAGCTGATTTACAAACCGGATCATATCTTCTAGCGAATTCAAAAGCTCGTATAGCTTGTTGCACCATACCTACAAGCAAATTGGCAAAACTAGATTAAAGGCAAAGCTTTTATGCGTCTATTTACTCTAAGCTAGGCTCTTTTGTATCAGCAAATTGACCTTCAAATTTCATTAACGAAGCTACATACCAGCACGAGCATACCGTCTGACCAAAACAATAAACGTATCTGCAGAAACCAAATCCGATACTCCACCATCGCTTCTCACTTGATCAAAAATCAACGCCCAAGCAATTTCAAATTCACGAGCTTTACACAAAGCATTGATAACAGAATCAAACAATGAAGGAGAAAGCGTAAACCCAGGTCTCGTCTCCGCCCATTTGTACACCGAGTGAAGCAACATCGGCGATGAACTAAACCGATCGAACAGCGCCTGAACCAGCTCAACACTCGGTTCGATTCCGGTTTCATTCAGAGCGGGTTCGAGACTCGAACCGGGAGCAACATCAGTGTTTTCGAGAAGATTCGATATAGTGGAGAGATCGGACTTTGAGAAATCGGGGACGGTGATCTGATGCGGCGTAGTATTTGTAGAATCGTGTGCGGCGGGTGATAGTAACCGTTGGATGAGAGGCTCAACGGAAATGGGCGGGAATGAACGATGCGATGATGATAACAATCTATGAAGAAGGAAGTGGTGGCGAGGACTAGGGTTTACGAGGACGCTCCGGCGGAAGGAGGTGAACAGAAAGTTCATTGTCGCCGCCGTTTTCAGAATTAAGCTGCCGCCGACGAACTAACTAGAATACTCCGATTACGCGCCATTTGGGCTTTCGTCTATGAAATAAAAATATCCATGGACTATGGCCCATTATAAACTAACTATATGATATTTTCCACGTTAAAGTTACAAATCACAAATGGTTACACGTATATAATAAATTCAAGTACATAGGACAATTTATCATGTTGCCAATAAGATTCTCTGAATTTATTTTATTCTATTTCTAAATAACAATTTGGATGTGTGTGATTCATACATGACCAAATACGTATAATTTAATGTTGTTGGATTGGTAGAAACGTTTTTTTTGACTAATGTTATCAAAATTAATTTCTTCTTATGTGAATAATATCTTTCAAAATTAATAAATGATAATGCAATTAATATTGTTCTTTGCCCCTTTATTTCTTTTCCACTTTTATTTAGATATTTTAAAGAGATAAACACAGTAAATATTATTGACCAAAGATATCAAATTAATTTAAAGATAAAATTAGTTGAGAAAGTCTGTAACATTTTAGCAATGTCAAAACTTGTAATTGATCCAAACTCAAAATATTCGATTATTAAGTCTTTTGATCGAATTCGTGGATTCGAAATTGGTTAAATTTTGATGATGAGATCTCAAATTTGATTTTACAAAAAAACATAACATTATAGGTTATTACCATGTATATAAAATGCGCGTAATTGTTTTTTTGGAAATCCGTTATTACCGTTGAGAATTCGTATTTGGTCTATATTTGTCGGAGATTTTTCGACTGATCATTTGTCCATGTAATATACAATATGCATTATTCTTTTTATTTACTGAAATCTAATTACCAAACAATTTTTTTTCCTACTTTTCTATTTTACTCATATATAATTGATTAAAAATAAAATAGATTACAGTTGCACTATTCCTTGTATAGTAACAAAGACCAAGTTATAGGATACATTCTGACAAATAATTTACCATATAAAAGAAGATTTTTCCAGAAAAAAAGCAAAAAAGACTATTTTAATATTCCTCTTTTTCCAAATAGAAAGTTTATTTTTCCGATTTTGATTTTTAATATTTTTTTTTTTATCTCTAAGAAATTATCTGAATTTCAAACAGTACCTTTCACTCAGTCGGCTTCCCCCGCTCCTCCTCCGCTCTCCTCTCCCCCCCCCCCCCCCCCCCTACACAGATTTCAACACTCTTTATCTCTCTCTGGAGCGTGACCTTCTCTTCACCGCCACTAGAGCTCGTTCACAATCTCATATACCTATTTGCTGAGCCAGGTATCATCATCATCTCTCTCGTCTGCTCACCATTTCCTGTTTGATTACCGATTCTGTGATTTTTCTTTTCTCGGAATCGTAGCTTGTTGCTCTTCGCTTTGATCGATCGGAGTTAATCGTTGTTTGGGTTTTAGATTTATCGATTTCTCTAGAGATTTTTTAATTTAATTTTGGTTGTCTTCGATTGAGATTATTTCTCTTTGTTGTTTCAGCTGTTTATTTGGTTTCTGCGTATTTGTTCGTCAAGCATGGGTAATCACTGGGGGAATGAATTTGTTGAGGTCGTACCTCTTTGTTTTCCTTGATTTTAATGAACGTGTGTATGTGTGTAGACTCTATGGCTCGTTGTTTGTTAAGGTAATCGGTCTTCTTAATCATTTTGATATGAGTATGTGATGAACAATGCTCAACTCGATTTCGTATGATTAGCTTTGAAATCGGATCCAGCGATGAAAAAATAAGATGTAGGAAACATGAAACCAGTTGTGATTAGCTGGGTTGCTTGTTTAAGCTGGCTTTACTCCGTGTAGTTAGAATCGTGTGAAATTGAGATTTGTGGTTCAATTTGAGTATGAAGAAATCGTTTCAATTTCCATTATTATACTATGCTTTTTTTTCCCCTAAATTATATGCTGCAGGACACTGATTAGTTTTCTGGATTGTGGTTATCGGATAGGCAATGACAATGATCTGTTTGCTCTGCAGGATTCGCTAAACCACTGGCTTATTTAGACTAAATTATGAATTGCTCTTCTTTGATGCATCCGAATGCAAACAAAGAAAATGTCTCCACTTCAGATGTTCAGGAGAATTTTGTCCGAGTAACGAGATCACGAGCTAAAAATGCCTTGGGAGGAGTATCGGTACCTCTAACAAAACCCTCTTTTAAACAGGTAATGGAACATGTTCTTATAGGAAGTCATAAACGAATTACAACAGTTGATGCTAAAATCTCTGATCTTCCTGCCTCTGGTTTATCAGCAAAAGAAACGTGCAGTACTCAAGGATGTCAGTAATGCTTCTGCTAATAATATCTATTCAGAACTCCTAAAGGGAGGCAACATCAAGGTAAACATTTTCAGATGATATGTTTTCATTTTTCTTGGTTGGTTTGGTGTACATCTTATGCTGGTTATATAGCCTCCAAACTTCCCCTTTGGGATTCTTATTATCTGACATTACGTTGCAGGCTAACAGAAAATGTCTAAAAAAGCCTAAAAAAACAGCAAAGGGAGGTGCTAACATTGCCATGGAAATGATGGTAGATATGCATACAGAAAAATCAAAATTAGCAGAAGATTTGTCCAAGATCAAGATGGCTGAAGCCCAAGATGCGTCTCTTTCAAATTCCAAAGATGAAGAAATTACTGAGCAAAGTAAGAACTGTTGTGTTTTTGAATAACTGAATATAATGACAGAATCCACGCTCTTCTCAACTCCGAGGTCATGTTGATCCCTTGCCAACTTTTACTCAACCACTGGACTCCAAAATGCTGACATTTTAGTAGTTATTCCCATTAAGTTGTTCTGTCAGGGTTGAAACAACTGAAGTATATACCAAAATGTAGATTCTTCAAACTTACTCAAGGTATGCATCTCTCACTGGTTTGTGCAGAAGAAGATGCGTCTGGTGTCCTGGATCTTCTTCAAGTTGTAGATATTGACTCCAATGTCGAAGATCCACAGTGTTGCAGCTTATATGCTCCTGATATATACGACAACATACATGTTGCAGAGGTATTGAATTACATGTACCAGATATTTGGGTTACATCTTTCCACAATTAACTTTTTGTAAATAATCTCAATATGACAACTTCATATAAAGACTGCTGGAGTTATAAACCCTCTTTTCTTGCAGTTTCAACAACGACCCTTGGCTAATTATATGGAGCTTGTGCAGCGAGATATCGACCCATACATGAGAAAGATTCTGATCGACTGGCTTGTAGAGGTTAGTCTCCTTCAATCTTAGCACATATATGTTAATAACGGCATCATCTTATCATGTTTCTTATTGAACAGGACAGTACATTCCTATACATAGCTTTCATAACAAAAATTGAGCACAAATTGATAATAGCTTTCCAATATTTTTTAGTACAATAGTTAGCTGCGTGGTATTTTTCAGGTTTCTGATGACTACAAGCTGGTTCCAGATACACTTTACCTTACAGTAAATCTTGTTGACCGGTTTCTGTCCAGCACTTACATTGAAAGGCAAAGACTCCAGCTCCTTGGTGTCTCTTGCATGCTTGTAGCTTCGTAAGTCCCTATTTGTTGTTTGTGTGTGTGTGTGTGTGTCAATTTCTGGTTTGTTAAGTAGAGAAACACCAAGGCTTATCTTCCTTGTACATTTTTGTTGAGCCTTGTAGTAAATATGAAGAGCTTTGCGCACCACGAGTGGAGGAGTTTTGCTTCATTACAGCCAACACATACACAAAAGCAGAGGTAAGTAACATTCAAATTAGTTATCGGTTTCTTTAATGTGTCCAGATTCTTGATAAAAATAAACAACTAGAATCTGCGTCTCAGGTGCTTAGCATGGAGATTCAAGTTCTAAATTTGGTGCACTTTAAATTATCGATTCCTACCACCAAAACATTTCTGAGGTAAACACTAAAGGGCTGAATGATGAATCTTCACATCTTTCCAGCTTAGTTTTAATATAGTATCACTCAGTTTTCATCTTACCTCAACACTATGTATGATTTCAGGCGGTTCATTAAAGCTGCTCAATCTTCTTACAAGGTATTAAACAATGACCCATTCGTCATTTATCCTCGCTACTACAGAAACTTGGAATCTAAATTTAGTGCCTTTTTTCTTATGATTGTTTTGCAGGCGCCTCTCACTGAACTGGAGTTTTTAGCAAACTATCTAGCCGAATTGACACTCATGGAATATACTTTCCTAAGGTTCCGGCCATCACTAACTGCTGCTTCAGCTGTTTTCCTTGCCAGATGGACACTCGATCAAACTGACCATCCTTGGGTCAGCTCATATTTCTTGAATCTTGAAAAACTTTGTTTTTTATATTTGCCATTTTTTGTGCTGATAAAAAGAATGCTATTGGTTATAGAACCCTACTCTGCAACATTACACCAGATATGAGGTAGCTGAGCTGAGGAGCACAGTTCTCGCAATAGAGGACCTGCAGCTCAACACCAGTGGCTGTACCCTCACTGCCACCCGTGAGAAATACAATCAACCAAAGGTACATTACTCTTCCAAACACTGTTAAATCAAAATTGTGATTGGTAAAGAAAAGTGAAAAACAAATGGGTAATTGAACTGGTTCTAATTCTGCATGATCTTGATAGTTTAAGAGCGTGGCAAAGCTGACATCTCCCAAACGAGTCACATCACTCTTCTCAAGATGACACCAAGCATCGAAAGCATAGCCAGGTGATCAAACACCTAGTTTCAGACATTGGATGTTATTTGGTCTCTTTGACCACTAATTTCCCAGTGTTTGTTTCTGTGCCAGTTTTGTCTGTCTGTTATTCTATAGCTATTGTGGGGCGCCTTGATTGTAGGCCATTACTTGTCACACCCTTTAGCTTTAGTAAATGTTATGGAAATTTTCTAATCCCATTGCTACATATTCACCATCCTGGGGGAATTTGTACCTAAGAGCTCTTGGAAAACTAATACAGACAAAAGAATAAATATATAATTCATGCTTCATGGCTTTATTGTTATGTTGTTTGTTTAGAGTTCACAATGCTAGATTCATTCATATGGAAACACTTCCATCGACAATTAACATCTTCTGGATACACTTGCTATCTCGTTATTTTCCATTTTCGTCCAATACTCTGCAGTCTGGAGGGTATGCATCAATCCTGCTTCAAGATATTCACTCTCCCCTAAATATAACCAAAATCCTAGAAAATTCTACAGCACTTACCCCTGATTACCCCTTTAACGCTCTGTCTTCAATACCTTAAGTGAGCTATCTCAGCTACAATTCACTACGAACCCCTAGACTAGTTACTTTAGTGCTTTACTAGACTAACAAGAAATCGGTACCAATGTATTCAAACTTGAATCTGTCTCATGGACAATATGGCAGGATAAGCCTTTGAGAAGAGAAGAAAAACTTGGATTTCAATTTCGGAAAATTGGTTTTAAGTACAAAAACTAAACAACTCACATAAATTAGGCAGGATACACGAGAGTCTATAACATGGTTAAGTGCACGACCGTGTAATTCTCCTATCACAGCATTTCCAGTAAAGACAAGAAAACAAGCCCTACTGCACGTTCAAAACTCACTTCAGCTTAGATTTTGAAGAGCTCATTAGAGGTTTAGCAATGGGACGAGCTGGAGCAGCCCTCGTGGCTTTCCTCAAGTCATACTTTATCATAGAGAAAGCGCAGATCATCATAAGCACCATGGTCGGGTAAACATAGACGGTTTTGGCTGGGTCGGTATTTACTGGCTTCCCTAAGATCCCTTCTTTAACAAGACCCCAAACTAGTAGCAATGACCCGAACATGCCCATCCTACCTGGCTTTAGCAAACCCACAAACGCTCCAGCTACAGAAAAGTAGCTCCCTGCAAGAACCTGGACAAAAAAAAATGACTTGTGAGACTGTTAGCAGGAATGAGGGCACATGAATCTTAGTAATTAGTTGCTACATATAGCAATACAAACAATCAGAATGTGAGTATGAACTTTGTTAGGAGAGATCTAGGGAGGAAAAAACCGAAACCTCTAGGCGCTGAAGATCGGTCACCGCAGATGCTTCTTTAATATTGGTGAGATTGTAAATATCTAACACACTCTCCCACTTCGGAAACGTCATGTTGGTGGCAAGACCATTGACAATAGCACCAGGGTACAAGAGAGCCTTAATCATCGGAACAGGAAAGATCTCACTAGAAATCAACTGAGACGATGTCACATGGATCGGAGATGAACACATACCAGATCTACATGGAACCCTGTTTTGAGATTACGAAATCAAGTCAGATTAACTAGAGAGACAACCCAAACCAAGTAATGATCCATAGAATTAAGAGTCTATTTCTAGTAACAAGGTCAAACTTTATTAACTTTATTACTTGATTTAAGTCGATTAAGCAATCAAAACTAGCTTAAAGTTTCTTAGTCTAGAGATCAAGGCGTAGTTAATAAGTACATACTAAAACAAACTACATAAAAGTGTGGAAACTTGAAATTGAATTGGAAATCAAGTTTTCATCAATCCACTCATCTTCCAAATCTCGATTCACTGACGCCTGTCGTCAAACAACAAAATCTAAAGGTTCGAAATTATGCAACTGAGAGATTGTTAGTATGAATTTTACCTGAAGAGAGGGATCTGGAGTATGATCAAGACGAAGTAAACGGAGGAAGCCATTGACGTCCATTTCTTAATCCATCCCTTTGATTGCCCTGGATTCGCCATTAACAATCCCGGAAAGAAATCGAATCTAGAGAGAGAGAGAGGGATCAATTTCTTAGAGAGACGCAGAGTGGACCCGTTGTAACCAGACGATAACGACGAAGAACAAAATTGAAATGCTTAAAAAAACGACACGCTTTGCTAGATTCTAAACACAAAAACAGCATGAGTGGTTATATCTTCGATGGGGAACAAAACGCTGTCGTGTGTGAAGGAGTCATCCACATAATAACAGCAAGGAGTTTTATGATAAACGACACGCGTTTCTATATTTTAAATACCAAACAGCGTGAGTGTTTTAGAAATTTGAGTGGGATCGACGTCGTTTAAAGGAGTAATCTGATTCATATAAAATCTGCTAAAAACAGCAAACAGTTTTGATGATAAGAGCTATGGCGGTTGCTTTATCTTCCTCCGGCGTCGTCGCTCATCTTCTTCCCCCGTCGTTTCCAGGTGTTTCCGTCAAAAGAATTCTGTTTCGGAATCGGAACGCTAGTCCTTGTGGTTTAGCTCTTCCATTTCACAGTTCATCTCGATCTGTACTGGTTTTTGCTCGTGGGAAGAATCGAAAAGGATTCGCGTCTTCGCCGTCTTCGTCGTCCCCGAAGAGGAACAAAAAGGTAAGACAATTAGAACGAGAATGAGTAATGTTCGCACTTGCTTTTACCTGCTGCTTTCGCTGAATTGGACTGGAATTTTTATACACAGAGTGAGCTCAAATTGGTTTGCCTCTTTTTGAATTCGTATCAGTCTCTTAGTCTTAGGTTTCATTATTTTTGACAGAAAACTTTTGAGGGAGATAATGGAGGAGGTGAGGAAGAGGATGATCCATTTGAGGCATTGTTTAATCTATTGGAAGAAGATTTGAAGAATGATAAATCGTCAATAGATGATGAGGAGATCAGTGAGGAAGACTTAGATGCATTAGCAGACGAGTTAGCTCGAGCATTGGGTGGCGATGATGATGGCATTGACTTGTTTGGCTCAGCCACTGGTGATGTTGTTGATGATGAGGATGATGAAGAAGATGAAGAAGATGATGATGATGATTATGACAGCGAAGAAGAAGATGAAAGACCCACTAAGCTGAAGAATTGGCAGCTTAGGAGATTGGCTTATGCATTGAAAGCTGGCCGTCGTAAAACTAGTGTAAGTTTCAGTTCAGTGTTGAGGAGTAGATGTTGCACATACTTTTGTATAGTTCTTGAGTTTTTGTCTGCTCTGAATGTTGTTGTATAGTTATTTGGTTTGGTCTGTTTTCAGATTTTGTTACAGAATTGGTTATGAGGTGGCAAAGAACAAGTAGACCCTCTGATTTTCAAATGCATCATTGTTAACAGATGGTTTTTTTGTTGTGATCTGTAGATAAAAAATCTGGCAGCTGAGGTTTGTCTTGACAGGGCTTATGTTCTTGAACTACTTCGTGACCCGCCTCCGAAGCTGCTAATGCTAAGTGCTACACTACCAGATGAGAAGCCGCCAGTAGCAGCACCTGAAAACTCCTCACCGGATCCAATTCTTGCGGAATCATCATCAGCTGAAGATGTTGTGGTTGAACCTGAGAAAAAAGTAAAAGATGAAGCAGTGCATGTGATGCAACACAGATGGTCTGCTCAGAAAAGAGTGAAGAAAGCTCACATTGAAACACTAGAAAAAGTTTACAGAAGATCAAAACGACCCACTGTAAGCGAGTTTCGCTTAGATTTGGATCAATTTAATGTTAGTTGAATACGTGGATGATCTATCTCACATATGATGTTAAATGATGCTGTGTATAGAATGCGGTGGTTAGCAGCATTGTTCAAGTGACCAATCTTCCAAGGAAGAAAGTTTTGAAGTGGTTCGAAGATAAACGAGCAGAGGACGGAGTTCCAGACAAGCGAGCTCCATATCAAGCTCCGGTTTGATTTAATGTTTACATTGGATTCCCAGAAACCCATCCAAGGACATTTTCTGGTGATACGAGGTGTGTTTATATTAGTATAATTTCTGTCAAATGGTGTGGTTAGCTTAGGAATATATTGGATTCAATTCTAGTCATTTTTCTTACCAAGAAACTGTCTAGTATACGATCCTCTCCTCTGTTACTACTGTTAGTGTTGTTATCAACTATTGAAGAACAGTTAAAAAGTTATATCTGCTCAGTTTTCAATTTAGTTTAGTTTATTATCATAGGCTAATTTGGCCATAATTACAGTTTCCATGTGTTTAGTACTCCTAATTAATGCATGACAAAAACAAATCACCAAATCTTAAATAAAAAAACTTTTCAGAACACTTTTAAAAGCAGTGTCGTAGGCATGGGCCCAAAGTGACAGAATGAAAGAACTAATATCTGTCCCGGGTCAGACATGGGGCCCACCTATTATCTCCCCTATCCATTATTCACCGTAAGATGCTAACCATATCTGACGGTTCATATTCACCCACGCTCCCGTCTCATGTGCCTTTGGATCCTTGCATTTCCTCAAGGCTCACCTTCTTCCACGACTCACTCTCTCAACCCGTCAGATTCTGGTCAGATCTGACGGCTGAGGCCACACTAATCTGTTCCTTCCCAAAATGTTTCGCAAGTAGATTCTTTCCAAGTTGGTTCTGTAAATCCCAAGTCCCGCTCTTTTCCTCTTTATCCTTTTCCACCAGCTTCTCTACTAAAACAACAATCTCTCTCGCCCGATCGAACCCTCTGAGAGTAAGAATAATGCAGGAACAAGCGACTAGCTCTTTAGCCGCTAGCTCTTTACCATCGAGCAGCGAGAGATCTTCTAGCTCTGCTCCACATTTGGAGATCAAAGAAGGTTTTTTTTTTTTTTTTTCGTTTCCTCCTCCCAGCGATTGATCTCATTGATTTTAATCCTCATGCATTAGATATTAAGTAAATTCACCATTGGCTTTCTCAATTGGGTCTGCTGATTTTTTGGTCTACCCGATAAAAGTTCTCGAGATCGAAGAAGATCTGTAATTTCAATTGCGTTAGAAAGTTTCAAACTTTTCGACTAAAAGTCTCTTTTTTTTTTTATATTATGTGTGTTCTATAGGAATAGAAAGCGATGAGGAGATACGGCGAGTTCCTGAGTTCGGCGGAGGAGCTGCCGGAAAAGAAACTTCCGGTAGAGAATCCGGATCGGCGACGGGTCAGGAGCGGGCACAGGCGACTGCTGGGGAAAGTCAAAGGAAGCGAGGGAGGACACCGGCGGAGAAAGAGAACAAGCGGCTAAAGAGGTGTTTTTATTATTTGTTTGTTTCTTTCTTCACCTATATTTACAGTTTTACCCTTCACAGCGTTGATGAAAATATATGGTTGCGTGATGGGGTTGTTTGGTAATTATTTTTGGTGAAAAAGGTTGTTGAGGAATAGAGTTTCAGCACAGCAAGCAAGAGAAAGGAAGAAGGCTTACTTGAGTGAGTTGGAAAACAGAGTGAAAGACTTGGAGAACAAAAACTCTGAGCTTGAAGAGCGACTCTCTACTTTGCAGAACGAGAATCAGATGCTTAGACATGTAAGTCTCATCGATCCCACCATTTATCTGATCTTCAATTATCAGTGTTTTTAACACTTGGATGAAGACTTCTCATTAGAAGGAATGAGCCATTTAGTTTACCAAGTTAGAAGGAATATGGAGTTATCATAATCTTCTGATTAGTTCTTAGATGGTTCTTCAAATGCTCATTTACTGTGATCTGAACTCAGTGTATGCTTTTGATTTTGTTGGCACTGCTTTTGCTGTTCAAGTGATGGAGAATATGAGAATGCAAAGTTGGATTCTATTTGTGTTGGTGTGGTGGTGAAATTGGTTTTTATTTACTTGCAAGTTTTGAGTTGTTTCTTTTTGGGTGCAGATTCTGAAGAACACAACAGGAAACAAGAGAGGGGGAGGAGGTGGTTCTAACGCTGATGCAACCCTCTGATCTCCTTCAATCTTGTGTTATATTTTTGTGGATAAAAATTTACAGGGAATGGTATTAATAATTATCATGTTAAATTTATATGGAATGTGACAGCTAAATTTCCAATTGTAGACCAAGTTCTCTTGTTGTAGTCATTCAAAGATAATTGTGTTTTTAACAAAGAAGAAAGATCTTGTTTTGGTATATGACATTGTGACAGTGTAGACCAAGTTCTCTTGTTGTATGTCATTGAAAAATAATTTTGTTTTCGAACAAAGAAACCAGAGCTAATTTTGTTCTATGGTTTGTGGACTATAGAAGGAAGTTGTGTGTTCGACCCCCGCCGAGTTCAAAGTCCCCAACTACTTTCTGGAAATCTTTTATTTTCTTTGATATTTCCACTTTTGTCCCTGCCCCTTTCGACTTAGACACTGACGTTTCTCGATTACAGACAAGTTCGAGCTACATCGCCATGGATTTGTAAATGAAGGTGCCGTTGTTTAATGTGCCAAAGCCGGACGAAATGGATTGATTTTGAACATCTTAAGTTGAGATTCTTAACTTGTCAAGCTTGAGAGATGAAGAGCAATGTAAGTATATTTGACACTTTTGCGTATCCATTTTTAAATCCCGGGAACTCAGGTTTTGGTCACTACTTTTTTGAAAAATGGTGCTTCTGTTCTTCTTAGAATAGAATTGCTACAATACATTCTATACTTGTTCTTTAATCTTTCACAATTCTTTGGTTCTATACCTTAAATTTTCTTTAGTTCTTCCAATAGATTCCAGGATCCCTCTCTATGATAGATGCAGAAGATTACGAGCCTCTGTGAGAGACTAGATTGCTCTTTTCACAAATCCAAAGAAGCAAGAAACCTCATCATCCAGGCACCGACCAGTAACAATATGGTTTTACCTGGTGTAGAAGTGCCTAGGTACTTCATTCACCGAGCTACAGGTGGGGGCTCATTGACAATTAAGTTGAATGAGAGGCCTCTTCCTACATCAGTGAGATTTAAGACTTGCATCTTGCTAGTTTATAATGGTGATAAGATGAGGCTGGTGATGATGAAAACTAAAAAACTTCAAAGTATTGCCATGGTTTCTTAAATGTAAGTAGTTTGATACTCTTGTGTTCCCTTTATAAATCCATGGAACTCGGTTTTTTATCTATGCTTTCTTGAAATTGCTTGTGTTTTTAGTTGTTGCTTTCTTAAAATTGCTTGTGTTTTTAGTTGTTGCTTTCTTCCAAGAATCAAAATTTCACAACTGAATTCATGCACAAAACCGTAGGATTCTGCATTCAACTTCATCATTCCTATTATTGTTTTCTTACTATTGTCTTTTTATGTCTTATTTAGTTTTCTATTGCTAGTTTCTCATAGTAGGACCCGTACGTTCTTGTAATTTGAATATGATGAAAGTCCCTTAATGTTGATGAACATGATGAGAGCTTGAATGGTGTATACGAAACGAAAATAAATGATTTCTAGTTTTTGCTACTCTACAATGTGTTCCTATGAATCTCAACACAGGTAAGGAAATCAATGTACCGCATACAGCATGTATTGACAGGGAGAACAACTGAAGGACCGGATCCCCGAAGAGCAGCTGAGATGAAGAGAATGGTAATGCTATATTGCTATGTGACTCATTGTACTTCTTTTTGCGACCTAGCAGTAAACTCAAAGTGTTTCAGGAAGGTTTTGAAGTGATAAGTAAAACCTGGTATTGAAGACTATTTTAGTATTTAATAAACCCTTATTTTATGGCAGATCAATAAAGCTGCAGGAAACAGGAAATCAAACCTGGGATGTAACAAGTTGTAAGCGCCCAGATAACTGTAGTAACTGTTGAAGAGCTGTTCATCGGGACTTGGTAATCTTGAAGAACAGTATAACATAGTTAAACCAAGAAAATTATACATAGTTAAAACAAATTAGTGGCTCTATTCTTATCTCCTACCTTCAGCAATGTATCAAGCAACTGTTGATTTTTGGTTCTTGAGACATGATATAATGACTATGATTCACCATTATGCTGTATATCCATGGTAGAAGATGCTTGATAATGTTGGGGTGTTTTTGCTGTCTAAGTCAGATTCCTTTTGTGTTGGTATGGTGAGAATGGTTTTGTAATTTACTTACAAGTTTTGAGATGTTTTTATCTTATTTGTTTGGGTGCAGAGTCTGAAGAACACAACAGAAAACAAGAGAGGAGGAGGTGGTTCTAACGCTGATGCAAGCCTTTGATCTCCTTATTGTTATATTTTTGTGGATACAAAATTTACTGGGAATTGTATTAATTGATAATTATCATGTTAAATTTATATGGAACGTGAGAGCTGAATTTCCAATTGTATACCAAGTTCTCTTGTATCTTTACTTAAGATTTTCTTAATTCAAAGCTAATTTTGCTGTGACTACAGAAGGTTGAGTGCTGACTTCGTGTCGGATTCAGTGACCTGAAGTAATTCTTGAATCTTTTATCTTTGGATATGTTCACTTATGTCATAGATTTGAAATCCAGGAACTCGGATGTCTGATCACTGCTTTCTTGAAATTGCTGATTCCTTCTTGGAATGGAAATGTCACAACCGATTTCACTGGAAAAACTTGGTGTGATTCTAGATTCTAAAATCTATCGCTGCTTCTACTGTTTTCTTACGGAAACAAATAGGTTTGTGACTTTATGCCTTGTATATTTTAATTATTCTATATGTTCATAATCTAAACGTACATTAACGAAGGAAGCTTCCTCTATCGCTATTTGCTCTTGTAGGACCCCGGTTCATGTAGACGTAGTTTGTTGTGAGGAAATATCCAAGAAATAGAATTAGTAGAGTTGCTAGTAGTAACAACGTTCTAGAAGTCAATGGAGTCAACGTTTTGCGGTCAATGCGTACGAAGCGTGTTTTGTAATCTCTTCCTCCACATAGGTAATAGTTGTTGCCAAAAAAACAAAAGAAACTGTGATATTGATCTTCTTTCCATTGTTAAATCCTCCTTTCAATGGATTCTTTATTTTTCCTTACCACTGTTGCTGCTGCAATTGGCTTCTTCACCCTTTTGAGAAAAGTCAGAGTCCATCAAGATAACACAGAAAATAATTTGCCTTCTTCAACACTTCCATTATCTCCATCTTCTTTCTCTGTTTCATCTTCTTTATCTTGCATCTGGGCTCACCATGTCTTTCCCAGCTTCCGCGGGGAAGATGTCCGTAGAGACTTCCTCAGTCACATTCAGATGGAGTTTCAAAGAATGGGAATCACCCAATTCAATGATAATGATATCAAAAGAGGAGAATCCATCAGTCCTGAGCTCATTCGGGCTATTAGAGGGTCTAAGATCGCTATTATCTTGCTCTCTAGAAACTACGCTTCTTCAAGATGGACATAAAGAGATGGACACAAGCCTTGGCAGAAGTGGCCACAATAGCTGGTTATCATTCAAGCAATTGGTTAGTCCTTGTTATTACTACACTTGCTCCTAAAATTGACTCTATAGCTTACATGTTTAGGGGCGTATTTTATAAGTTTTCCGTATGACCTATAAACCATTTAAACCGGCTTTGGGTGTGATATATTTAGTAAATGTAATGATCTCTCCCCCATCTAATTGTTAGGGATAATGAAGCATTCATTATCAGGAAAATCGCCATTGATATTTCAAACATATTGATTAATTCCACACCATTTTGACGAGTTAGTTGGGATGAGCACACATTTGGAAAAGATGGAACCATTGTTATGTCTAGAGTCAGATGAAGTGAGGATGATTGGGATTTGGGGTCCTCCTGGGATTGGGAAGACCACCATTGCTAGAGTTATATACAGCCAACTCTCCCACAGTTTCCAACTGAGTGTTTTTATGGAGAATATCAAAGCAAACTATACAAAACCTTGTTCCGATGAATACAATGTCAAGTTGCGATTACAACAACAGTTTATGTCTCAAATCACCAACCATAAGAATATGGAGATTTCTCATTTAGGAGTTGTCCAAGATAGACTGAAAGACAAGAAAGTTCTTGTCATTCTTGATGGTGTGGACAAGTCAGTACAACTAGATGCAATGGCAAAAGAAACTAGGTGGTTTGGTCGCGGGAGCCGAATTATAGTTACAACACAAGATTGGAAACTTTTTAGAGCACATGAGATTAACCATATTTACAAGGTAGATTTTCCGCCGGCAGATGAGGCTCTTCAAATTTTCTGTATGTATGCTTTTGGTCAAAAGTCCCCTAAAGATGGTTATGAGGAACTTGCTTGGAAAGTTACGAATCTTGTTGGTAAACTCCCTTTGGGCCTAAGGGTTATGGGATCCTATTTTCGAGAAATGTCCATAGAAGAGTGGACAAAGTCACTACCAAGATTACAGACTAACCTCAACCCTGATATTCAAAGCATTTTAAAGTTCAGCTATGACGCTTTAGATGACGAAGATAAAGATTTATTTCTTTATGTATCATGTTTTTTCAACGGTGAAATTATTCTGAACGTGGAATACAATCTTGCAAAGGATTTCGTGGAAGTGGGGCAAAGACTTGACGTTTTAGTTGAGAAATCTCTCATATCTTTTAATGGGGATCGTCTTAAATGTGGACGTATAAGCATGCATAGTTTGCTGCAGACGCTAGGTTCAGAAATTGTTCGGCGGCATTCTATTAATGAGCCTGGACAGCGCCAGGTCTTCGCTGATATACCAAAGATAATTCAAGTACTGAAGAGTGGTAAATTAGTAAGTTTTAATTTTAGTCTTTCATTGCTTTGCTCCCAACAAAATTTAGTTCATTTGATAACTAACCATCTTTATTTTTTGTTCCTTAATTCAGGGTAGATTTGCCTACTGGGATTGGGCAAACAGTAGAGATATTGCATTGGGTAGAAAGGCCTGGCCGACCCCGGATACGAAACAGATCTCGTTTTGGTAGTTAAACCCGAAAAATGCCAAGCAGATCTTATGCTTGTTAAGACTCCATGTTATGCTTTGTTTGTCTCTGAACGTAACCCAACATGTGATGTAACAGATAGAGAGCAAATTAGAAGAATGCTTTGTTTCCTTTCTAATGTACTCTATCTTTGTTATTGGAACTGGCTGTCCCGTTTAGGTTGCTCAAAACAATTTCATAAAAAGTTAGAAAATTTTTCTTTTCTCGGCATAAATATTTGTTTAATTGGCAGGAGAAACGGTAAACAAAATTCTGTGCAATGCGTCGGAATCAACAAAATGAGAGTTCTCGAAAGCACAAATGCTAATACACGATAGGTAACAAATAACTCAATAAGGCAAAAACGTCAAGGCTGAAAAGGAAAAGGCAAAAGCTCCTTCTCTTCTCTTCTCTTCTCTTCACTCATTAGCTTATTAAATCTCCATCAAGGTGTCATCATCCTCTGCAAGTAAGAGCGTAGGCAATATTTAAATAAAGCATTAAGCCATAAACCCATATGCTAAAAAATGAAACAAAAATCATTACCTTTAACTTTTCCATCGTCGCTGCTTAAATCAGATTCATTATCATTCTCACCATAGAAATGCTCTACTACATCTTCCTCATCATCCTCACTTTCATCAATCTCTTGATCATGAGCTGTTGTTGGAATCTGATTTCCTGCAGCTTTATTGATCTGCCATCAAAGAAGGGTTTATTAAAACTAAATAACAATATGCTTGTAATCCGCCTTGGGAATTGATTAGAAGGTGATGGGTATGTAACCTGGGCTGTAACAAGTTGTAAGCGCCCAGATAACTGTAGTAACTGTTGAAGAGCCGCTCCTCGGGACTTGGTAATCTGAAAGAACAGTATAACATACTTAAACCATGAAAATTATATAGAACAAACAAAATCATTGGCTCTATGCTTATCTCTTACCTTAAGCAATGTATTTAGCAGCTGTTGGTTTTTTGGTTCTTGTGACATGATGTAATGACTATGATTCACCATTATGCTGTATATCCATGGTAGAAGATTCCTCCCACCACATCCCCTGTTGAAATAAATGCAATGAGACAGGAGAATCAAACATGCTCTGGACTATTATCACAGCCGAAGATTAGACAACTTAAAATTGTTAGTGAGAAGAACATCTAGATTTAAGCGTGACTTATTTTCCAATGGTAAAAGCTTCAATAATAATTACTAAAGATGAAACTTGCGAATAGGAAAGGAGGAAGTCAGAGAACCAACCTTGTCTGCCACATAGCAACCAAAGCTTCTAGAGTCTTGAATGCAGAGGAGGGTTCCATTGACAAAACAGCAGACTTTAACTGGCAATACGGAAAATAATTCTATAACTACTACGATTGGAGATTCAAAGAAAAAAATCTATGGAAATCTCTAAAGGGATGCATCAGGGTACCTTCTTTGGTGGTAGATAAGCCTCAAGATCTATTCCATCAATTACTGAAGCATAGGAAATATTTTTTTGTTCATCTGTACCTCCAAGTATTCCTAACGATCTCAACTTATCCTCCATGCTAATTGTTTCTACATGGTCTGAAAATTTCGAAATAAAAATGAATGAACAAGAGGCATCTTGTAACCAAGCATCTAGCATATAACTACTAAAAGAGCCAACACAATCAAGTGATCTGCATCAGTACGGAGAGACTTTAGTGCCCTGATGGAAAACTCACCAGCTTGACTTTGGTCAACCATATCAGATGAGTGTGATTGTACACTCTTCTTCTCATGCAGATCAGCAACCCTTGCAATTGGCAGCAAAGCATCCTCCGCATGTGCCCGGTCTAATGTTGTAACTATAAAATTATAAATCTTAGTTAGGAATTGTTATTAACAGGAAAGGGGGGAAATGGAAATTGCACAATTCACAAGGCAGTATTGAGGACAAAAATCCTCCATACTGAGAAGATGAATCAACAGAACTCAACATATTGAAAGATACTTATAAATATAAATGATACATCCTGTAGTTCCATTAATGTCAAAAATCATTTTAAAATTATAAGAAAATTATCGACTCTACTTAAACATGGTGTGGATATTGCTACTACTGGAAATCTTCGAGTAAATTAGTCAATTTGATTTCGGATTTTGGAACACAATGACCATATAATCAAAACAGACTAATCAACTTATTTTGTTGGAAGATTCATGATTTGGTAAAGGATATAGCGCATAGAAGATACCTCTATTCTGCACGCCTTGCCCCTTTTTGGACTTGGAAACTTGAGTGACGGGGAGAAGGATACCATCCTTAGAGGCATTCAGCACCAAGTCTGTGCCAAACTGTAACACCATTTTCTGGAATGATGGTTTCACTAGCAATCCGGATGCAATAAATGCATGCGCAGATCCAGGCTTCATAATGCCTTGTAATTTGGCAGCAAAGATTATAGGCAATGATCCCTTGTGGTGATTAAGTGAAGAATCTTCAGTTGCCAACGCGACTTTTGTAGGCTTTGCATTGCATAGCTCCTCAACATTTGATCCATACCAAAAATAACAGACACCTATCTCTGAAATCGCTAAAACGTATAACCCTTTTTCATTTGTTTCACCCCAACTATCCACGAAGACAGGAGGGTGCTCCAAGGCAAGAACACAGCTAGCTGACTGCTTCTTTGCACCATCTGTTTTCCACACTGCAACATATCTTTCACCGACTGCGGATGAGAGGACATACTTCCCATCCTCTGTAAAAGCTACACAACGTACACCTCCCTATATAACATTAGGAACTGTTAACAACCTTCTAATGTGTGACATAGAGGCAGCTTCCTAAACATAAAACCTGGTCGATAAAAGTAATGGTACTCACAGGATGACCAGTAAACTTCTGTATCTTTTTGAGATCTGAGCAGTTAAAAGTCTTCAACTGAGCAGATGCAGTGACTAATATTTTTCCATCTACAAGTGGCAGGAGAAAAAACAACATCATCAGCAGGTATACATATGTAAGCATATTAACAGAAACCTACAGATTACTTCAAGAGGCTTTTCTAAGACTACTCAAAACAAAAACGAAGAAACCAGGACACACCTGGTGAAACACATAAAGAAGAAACTGCTTTTGTTGAAGCTTTGAACTTTCTGATCAGATTTCCACTATGGGGATCAATTTGACAAACCATCCCATCTGCCCCACCACTGTATATGCACGAGGCCCTTGCTGAAGATGAAACAGCATTGACACCACTGCACAAGACAGGAAACACATTGATAAATGTCCAAACCCAGCTTCGAAGAGGAAAAATTAAAAGGATTTGCAGAGGGAGCAACTACCTAGTGCATAATTAAATAACAGAATGCCAATATTTTTGCAGATAGATCAGTTTGATTCCAAATATTGTCCAACAAAAGAATAGTAAAGAAGAAGAAGTCAGTGAGAGTTAGTTACTCACCCGGGATGACAATCACTTATTCTCCATTTCAGCTGACCAGAGGCCACATCAAGTGCTAAAACATCTCCTCCACCAGTTCCTAATACCAATACGGAAATTCCAAGTTTTCTCTTCTTCTGCAAATAACAAGAATAAAGCTTATTTGTAAGTAAAAAAATATATTTAACAAACTAAATCTCCACCGCAAGGCTAGAATAAAAGTAAAGTAAGCCTCTACATACCTTTTTCTCCAGAGACAACCATTTCATGCAAGTATAATCAACCGCGAGGTGACCTTTCCCAACTTTAGTATATATGTTGGTCTCCTCTGTAGATGCAATATCAGCAAACTCTGTTTGGACCTGGCCCTTTACAGTATCCCAAATCTATACAACATCGAACAGAAATTACATTAGTTGAAAAGCAAAATTCATACAAACTGAACAGGGTCAGAAACTATGAGCCAAATTCCAATAAACACAAGTAAGATCAAACAGGCGCGTTCACAATTAAATGAATAACAATCCACCACCAAGCATATAATTTACCAATAAAACTAACACAAATTAACAAGTAGAGAGCCAAAATGAAAACACAAAGGTCCAGACAGCAGGGTTAAGTCAGTTTCTAAAACAGCTGAAGTGTCTGGATTACACTTACAAATAAATTTAACATCAACCATAGAAGAAGAAAACTGAGGATACCTTGATACGGCCATCTCCGGTGCTAATAGCGAGATAATCTAGGGCAGGACTGAAAGAAGTCAATACATCTCTGATGTTCACCAAATTCATCTTCCCCTGACATTGTTATACAAAACCATTATACATGACGTTACAATTCCTTCCTTATCAACTCACACGAAAACTCGAGTTAAGCTAGTCAATGTAAAAAATATACAAATTTCACAGTTAAACCGATTTCAACTGGAAGAATGCAGCAACTTACTAAGCCAATTACCCAAAAACACAATCGACCTCCAACACTTAAAGAGATTAACAAAAAAAACAAGCAACTAACCAGACCAATCGAAGGAGACAGAGAGAGAAGCGGGTATCAAAGTACAACTTTCGTTTGCGGAGAGCTGAGTCAGTAGACGGTGGCGGAAGAGGAGAGAGTGATGGGTCGCGAAGAAGACGAAAGCAAATTAGGGTTTTTGAGAGGTTTTTCTGTTTTCTGAGCTACAAAACGGCGAAGGGGTTGTATTACACAAATTTAATTATTACGGGTTTAAAGAATCATCAACTGAAATTTTTATGGATTAGAAAGAAAAAAATGCGCCAAAGCTGAGCTGTTCGGAAATAACAAAAAGGAGCATGGGCCTTATAAAAATACCTTTGTCTTCAATGTTGCCGAATAGTTATTGGGCCTATTCATTAAAATAAAGCCCACTTTATAATGCCCTCCGTCACTTTCCTTTTTGGTAACTTTGAGTCTTTGACTAATGTTTATAATGCAGAGCAGAAGGGAACTAAAAGGAGTTTGTGTTGTTGAAGAGATTCTCTCGGCCTTTCCATTGCTAGTTTGGTTTACTTTTGGAAGTAACGAAATTGTAAATGTTTGAAAACACCTCGCAGTCTCTGGCAGAAACGATGGATTTAGGAGATATGTGAAAGGAAGCATAATGGACTAGAGAGGGACTTGGTTTGGCAATATCGAATGCTCATCAATGGAGCCGTATGATGCTAATTTACATAATCATAATAGCTGTATGATCAGTCAATCTTAACACGAAGCTTTCTCAGCCCCTTTTTTGTAACAAATCATACAATTGTTGCAATCTCCGTTATGAAAATCATGCTACAACATTTACATCAATTAAGAACAAACCTCCTTTCACTCCCATCTTATAGACAAATGAATAGATTTGTAATGGAATTTACTGAATTGATTTGAATTTTGATATATACTCTATATCGTCACACCATCACGATTAACCTAACATGTCAAGGACAAATCCACTAGAAGATTCACAAAAACTTACCACCCAAAAGTAAACTGAAACTGTCAATAATCTCAGTATGATTAAATAAAGTAATAGGAAAATCCATAAGCAAAAGACTGGTAACACCATTGTAATCATAAATAACATGAAGAAAACAAGACCAAAAGTGAAAGAAAGCTCAGAAAAAAAAACAAGACAAGAGCAAATAAGAGATTCTGACTTCACTACCTATGAGTAAATCAATGGATCAAAAGCAACCTCAAGACTCCATAAGAACCCTACCATCACATATTATCCAATTGATAATCATAATCTTCTTCCATGCTCTTATTCTTGCTAAATTCCATCTTCTTGTTTTCGAATCAAGAAAACATCATTTAATTCTCAGACTCATTCTTCTTACCTTCACCATCAGCTTCCCTCTCTTCAAGCAACCGACCACTCTCCTCATCAGCTTGCTGAATCTTCTTCTGAGCCTCTTTAGCCTTCAAGGCCTGTAATTTCGCGTGGTTGTAATACGCAACCCCCAAGAACGCAATCCCGTACCCAAAAAGGTTAATAGGAGTCACGGTATCCTTAATCACAGACCAAGAGAATGCAATCAAGAGCCAGTCCTTAACCACACCAGCAACATTCATGGTCAAAGCAGAGGTTTTCCCAACCAAAAGGAACACCGCAAGGTTCAACGCAAACGCACAGAACGAATTAGTCCCAAAGATGGCGTAATCGAAGTGGAAGCTAGATGTATCTCTAAGAACCGGAAACTCAACGTAGATCCACGGGATAAACAAGAAAGCCAAGCAACAAGGAGCAACGTAATAGAGCGAAGTAATGGGGTTGAGAGTGATTCCCTTAGAGGTGAGCAGGATCTGAATCAACACCAAACGAGTGGCTTCAAAAGCAACAGCACCGAGCTGAAGAAGCACACCCCAAACATCAAACCTAGCTTCTCCATAAGCAGCAATAGCAACACCGAAAGAGATCGAGAGCATGTTCATCATAGTATCAGATTTGAAACCTTCCTTCTTAAAGAGAACACCGATTGAGTAAACAGCGACAGGCATGAGAGCTTTAAGCATCTGGATGAAAGAGACCGACAGGTAAATGTAAGCTGAATTCGAGAGCCAGAGCGAGAGAGCGTAGAGAGCACCGATCGGGACGACGGATCTCAGGTAAGTCTCCCGGGACATTGAAACAGGCTCGACGAATTTGAAAACCTTGATGATGAGGAAAGCTAGGGTTGAGCAAAAGGACATGTGGATCATGGTGAGTGAGATCGGGAATGGCCAATTGTACATCTTCTTGTCGAGGATGTATTTGTTGTAGACGATCACTGTGAAGCTTAGGAAGATCCATATCGCTACGTAGCTGTACGACAGAAGGATCTTCTTAATCACGCTTTCGCTCAGTGCCCCGCCTTTCCCCATTGCGGTGGATTCGAGTTACAGATCCGCTTCCCCGTACGGTGGTTAAGCGGCGGAGACGACGGTCGTGAAGCGGCGGCGCAGGAGAGAGGGGAGGGAGAGAACAGTTTGTTAATTCTTTTTTTTTTGGTGAGATGCTTAATTATATAAGTCTTCGGGGTTAAGTGCCGTAGTTGTGCTCTTCCATGTTTTGTTTCACGATTTATGTATACGTTTGATATATTAATATTTTTTCTTTTAATAAGTAGAACGATAATAATGTGAATGGGAAATAAAATAATTAGAAACAAAAAAAAAATTAGATAATGCGTAGGAAATTTTGTTTGTACTGTATATCCTCATCAAAGATTTAGAGGATCAATGTTAAAACTGTTTTTGTTATACAATCTGATTTTTGTAGATTTTTTAAATTGATAAAAAATATTGTCTTTCAAATGTTCCGAAAGTTAATTCAGATTTTGATTAAAAATAAACTGTTTTAGTAGATAAATAAAAAGATTTTTGGTTTAATGAGCCAAGATTTTATAAATAAGGAGATTTCATGAACAATTGGTAATTTGTCAATCTCCGAAGACTTTGTTTTTTTATAAAAGTGTGTTTGCTTTAGTCAATAAATGGGCCTACTGATCGCAACCAAAGCCCAATAGCGTTCATAAGATCGCCAGGAGGAAAATGGTGTTAGGGGAACGCGCGTCGAGCGTTCGTTCGTTTAGGTGTGAGTGAGAATCATGCGTCTCACCCAACAAAGTCACGCGGCTAGTGATGCGCGTTTCGTGTGAATGTGATTTGTGATTACAATGCCTTTTGTCGCTTCGACGTGTTTTTCCCGCTAGTGGTAAATAACCAAACATTTGTCTTGTTTTTTTTCTATTTGTTTTGTCTTCTATTAACATCCATACATATATATAAGAAAAAATGGAAAATGAAATTAAGACACTCTACTTGTAATTGGTATTCAATATCTTTCTCTTTTTTGTCTTCATCTATTGGTTGGTACTCGGCTTTCGAAGACTGCTAAAGTCATTTGATGGATATGTTACTGCAATATGTTGGGAAATAATCGTACCATTAGAAGATGACCAAAACAATAACTATATGTTATACGATGTGATTTCAACTTTAAACCATTTCTTGGGATTTGGTAGTCTTTCTTTTATGTGGCCTTATTATATGAAGTCTTTAATTTGCTAAAGTTTTTACATTAGGGAGTGTGTTGAAGAATACATATCGAGTTGAATAAAGCCACTCACTCCTAAATGGTACTAAATTATTACTAACCATGATGATTCACGGGTTTTAACCGCACCATTCTGACCAATCACCATCTCCACATCCTATAGCACGATAAACAATGATTTGGTGAAAGATTAACTTTAGGGTTTTGTGAATTATCAATAAATCATTATCGATAGGCAAACAACTAGTATTAGAGTTATAGAGATGACCTTCTCCACTTTGGCACGAAGAAATCATTTAGTCAAACGTAATTGCAGCTTTTTGGTAAATTAATTATATTTATAGGTTCTTCTCAAAAACAATGATTTGGTGATAAAACCAGTATTATTTTATAGTTGACAAATCCCTTTCGTTTGGACCACTTCCGAACTAGTAAACTAGGAGATGTGCAAGTGGTGGTTACCTAACAAATTGTATGATTTGATGTTTAGACTTCGTTTAATTTGTTTGACTAACCAATTTTTTCCACTTATTTATTAATTTAAAGATTAATGTTTCAATTTCTAACAGATTTTCTTAGAAAATGCACATAATCATTTAGAGATTAAATATGCATATATATAGTTTTCCTATAACATAAGAAAGCGCGTGTGCCTTTTGACAAAGACATATACAGTAAAACCTCTATAAATTAATAATGTTGGGATCATGAAAATCTATTAATTTATAGAGGTATTAATTTATCGATAAATTAATAATTATCAATTTATAGAGAGATTTTCTTAATTTGAAAGTTTTTTCAGAAAAATATTTAAAAGTGAGATTTAATCATGATAATTAGTATTTTATATAATCAATTACAAAGAAAATAATAATTATTATGTCCTGAAAGAGAATGCTAACAATTTTTGATATAGTAAAATATTAGAAATAAACTCTAACAAAAACTAATGTGTCTATATATACATATATTTTGAAAATTTTACCTAATTATTAATTTATAATATTATTGGGACCATATATTTACAAAGGATTTTCAAAAAAATTATTATCTTATTATTTTATCGAAATATGTCTAAAATTACACTGGTCCCAACTTGGGACCGGAGAAATTTATTAATTTATCGAGTATTCATTTATAGAGGTTTTACTGTAATTATCAGCTAATTTTTCTTATCGGCATTACATGGAATGATTTGTATTTTCCATTGTTATAATTTATAAAGAGGATATAATGAATTTTTTGTAAAGTAACAAGATCTTGCCTATCACATTCATAGTTTCACTTTGTCTTGGCGCAATGATGATGACCTCAATCTGAAGGTCGTCTTGAAATTATAAGTATATCCCACTAGAAAAAAATACATCAACTCATGTTCTTGAATTCATAAGAGATTTCAAACAACTGGGGGAAAAAATTGTCAAAACAAACAAACAAACACTCGAAAGTAGAAAACCCAACGAATGGACCGATTTGCCAGATAACCTTGTCGTGGTATCAACCTCCAATACTAATCTTGTTATGTTAACGCCTAGGTTATGGCCCATTAGGCCTAAAAATTGAAGTCCATTTTTGTATGGTTCCATAAGGTATAAATACTTTAATCGTGTAAAACTGCCAGCAAGCGTCTGTAGTCCAACGGTTAGGATAATTGCCTTCCAAGCAATAGACCCGGGTTCGACTCCCGGCAGACGCATTGTTTATTTTTTATGTCCATTTAGAAGAATATTATCATATTTATTTTATTTTCTTTTTTGAGAAAACAAGACAAGATGTGTTCTTGCAAAAACATTTGTGCTCATCTTAAGAAAAAATCTTTTGACATCATATCAGATATTTAGATTGCCATGTATCCCACATTTAATCATATGAAAACATATTTTATTCAAGTTGATGAAGCCCAAATTGTCTTTTGGGTATTACATATGTTTTCTAGTTACTGAATTGCAACATATAGCAAAATATGAAAACTTGAGAAATAACAAAAATAAAAAAAAACCGATCAATTCAATTTGGTTTAGGTTTAACCATCTTTAGTTGGGTTAAACTTACGAGCCCAGATATGTTTTCCATTAGACTTAAACTTTTGTATCTTTTCGCCGCCGAGTATGCGATCCACAGTTGCAACTGAATCCAAGACCAGCCTTGCATATAGAGGTTGTTGTTGACCATAGTTATCCCCATTCGCATTAGTAGAGTTTCCCTTGTCGTAGTTCATGTAAACGCCTTCAACACAATTTTCTCCATAATTTTTGGTGAAAAAATGTTTCACCTCTTCTTGTGATACAGGGAACCCACGAGAAAATGTTATAAACATAGTTCTTTCGTTCTCGGTTGCAATGCAATTAGCATTCCAACCCCATAACCCATGTGAGCATAGTGATAAATGGTTGTTGTAGACATCGATATCGGGCATTACATTGATGCTTCCAAACGTTGGATGGGGAAATCCAGGGATGATAAGAGGATGGCGAAGTTTGGTGATAAATGAATACGATGAAGAAGATGGGAGAACTTGTTGGAGGATGTCAGAAAACACTCTAGAACAAACTGTTGTTAAAAAGTTTTTAATACCTGTGATAGCACTATATCGGTGTTTGTAGATTATTTGAAGAGAAATATCTTTTGTCATGACTTCTGCGGTGAGAGGGATTTGACTGAAATCATTTGGCTGCTGAGCAAAATCGAGACATTGAAAACACAAGACAGCCTCATTAGCTAAAGCCACGATGACTGGATCGCTGAAAGCCAACATGGTTGATATGATGTTTTGGGAAAAGAAGTCTTCAAGCCAAAACCATGTAGCCATGACAAGAAGTGATTCAGCTGGGGTCCTTGAGAATCTTAGGACAAGTTTTGAGAATATTTTCCTGTCTTGGGCATGGAAAGTGTATAGTTGTTCTTTGGTGGGAGGTGACATGATCGATTTTGGATTTGAAAAGAGTAAGGGAGAAAAACTCAATCGCATAAAGTTTGGGAAATGTGAAAACAAAATGAAGATTGTTGGAATGTATGATTGTCACTATCTAATTGCTTGGTTTTATACACATATGAGAGTCACATGATTTAAAAGGTTATGTAAGATAATAAATACAAGGAGTTAATAATCTTATCCAACCATAAACCAAATATTTATTGATTGTTACAAAGTAACTGTTACAAAAGAAAAGCCAAAAGAAAATGAGATTTTTTTCCAAGTTTGTTATGTTATTTCACCACTACTGACAAGGTACCTTTTGGAGTTTAGCTGACAATTGTCATTATATTTTTATGACTATTAAAAGGGTAAAATAAAAATTAGTGTACTATTGATGAAATATATTTAGCAAATTATTTTTTACTATATGGGCTTAACTATAGTTAGACACCAAAATTTTCTTAATAAAGTTGGTCAATGAGAATCTGTCACGTCTCTATACATGCATTGTATGTAATGTCTTTATATTTAGACATACTAGAAATTATAATTATTGTGTAGTAAATGGTGACATTTCTTTTTATCCTATCTCTTTTCATCTAATTGGAGGATACTTATTTTCCACTTTTCTGATTAGCTCTAGAAATTTGTAGATATATGTTTGGATCATATCTACACTTTTTAAACCATATATTACTTTATTTATCTTTTGTTATAAATATGAGTCATCACAATTTATTTAATCTGAACTGATGAAGAAATAAGTAAAAAATTTAACAAATTTATTCACCAAATTTATAAGTTCTTAAGCCATAACATATTTCCCCAAATTTTAAATAAATTTTCTAAAATACACAAGATATATTTGTTAAGAAAACGAAAAAGTATCCTACATATGAACAAAAAGATACAAAGAGGTTTAGAATCAAATGCTCGGCTATGTATATTATTTACTTACAACTGCAAAGGAGAATTATTCAAGAGATGTACAAAAGATCATCATATAATGAAAGATTTTAATTTCTTATTTACTTATCCTCACTCTCACCCCTTCCTTAGATAGATAAGCCTTTAAAATTTAAATGTTGAAACTGGACTTCACTTGAATTCTAAATGTTACACAATATATGGATAGTGGGTAGATAGATCTTCAGTGATCGTATTTGCATATCCATGAAGCGGCGGCGAGTGAACATGAACGAACACATAAAGCTCTTATGGGTTTTTTCTAATGTTAATATTATACACAAATCCTCTTCACATTCATATAAATGTCATAAATTTCAAGGATTTAACTTCATAGTTGGACTTGGACGGTTCACGCTTAGTAGTTAGTAATTTTTCAATTTTAAGAAAATTGAAATTCTGATCAAATAGTACATCAAAAACTTCAAAACAGACAGCTATTAGAAAACACACATTATAATCTCTAAAAACTACATTTAAACTAACTCAAATTGGAGGGAGAAATGTTGTATAGTTTTGGAAGACGTCCACGTCTTCTCCTCTCATATGGGTAACGCGTTAACTATCCAAAGTGACAGTAACAAGTCTTCTTCTCTACATCGTTTGTCCTATTAATATTGTGTTCTTAGTAATTGGGTGGACAAGGCTTTAGCTGTAGTCATAAACCCATTAGGACAAACAAAATATAGGCCCATCAAAACAAAGCCCAATTTAGAATTTAGGTAAGCCGTATCCAGTCTCCTTCACTACGTATCTGTCTTTGACCTAAGTGAAGCTCAGATATTTTATCCTTCCTCTTGCAATCAGAGAATTCGAAACCCTAATCCGAATTCGCGATCTGACAAGCTCTGCTCAGTTCTCAGGTATCTTCTCGCTCTCTGTCCATCAGATATCATTGATCATTAGCAAATTCATTTTACACGCTTAGTGTTCGGGAACGTTTCTCCCCAAACTTTAGGGTTTTCGTTTTGCACCGAATTGCGAAATTTTTCTGAAATTTATCTTGTTTGTGTAGAACCTGTGAAGTATGGGAGACGCTAGAGACAACGAAGCCTACGAGGAGGAGCTTCTGGATTACGAGGAAGAAGACGAGAAGGTCCCAGATTCTGGAAATAAAGTTAACGGCGAAGCCGTGAAGAAGTGAGTTTTATGTTTAGCTTGATTTGTTAATGAGAAAGTTGATGTTTAAGTTCGAGGTTCCTTAGATCTCTAGTTGTTAGCAGTAAGGCTTTAATTAGTCGCTTCACTTTATAAATTGCAGTTTCTTAGTTCTTCAATGCTCTGTAATTATTGGAAACTTATATATGACTTTCAGCTAGAAACTTATTTGATACTCTCATGTGTAATCCTCTTCTCTTCTTGTGTTTTCTTTTTGTTGCAGAGGTTACGTTGGAATACACAGTTCTGGATTCAGAGACTTCCTCTTAAAACCGGAGCTTCTCCGAGCTATTGTTGACTCTGGATTTGAACATCCATCTGAAGGTATAAACTTACAGAACTTACTTCCACAATTCAGTTCTCACTCTATTTTGAGTCTTCTTCCTTGCCTTTGCTTTGCACAATTCTGTTACCTATTGATATACTATAAACTTACATAATTACTTCCACAAAAGCTATTTTTGTTGTTCTTAGACATTTAATTTTTTGTACTTCGTCTACTTTTGAGAAGATATGTCGGTTTAAGATACTTATACTTTACCTACCAACGTCTAAGTAAAGTTGTGTTGGCGGTATTCAGATTCGTTTTTGTGTTTTTCTGTTATAATTGGTTTCGTTTACTTTGTCCATTAACGTTTTATTGATTACTTTTTTTTCCAGGTAATAAACGCTATTTCAATCTATTGATTTGGAGTGAGCTTAGCATGTCGTAAAGCCACGAATTATAAAGAAATGGAGGTTATATTCTACTACTAAACGGTTCCTTCGGTGCAATTTTCTTTGGTTCTCCCCCAGTTCAACATGAATGTATCCCTCAAGCTATCTTGGGCATGGATGTTATTTGCCAAGCAAAATCTGGTATGGGAAAGACTGCTGTGTTTGTGTTGTCTACTCTGCAACAGATTGAACCGTCTCCTGGACAGGTTTCTGCACTTATCTTGTGCCATACAAGAGAGCTGGCTTACCAGGTATGACTTTTCTGTATAACTCAGGTTTTTGGCTCCTATAGTTCTGTGTTATCACCCTTCCCCCCATGTTGTGTAATCTTTTGCTGTTGAAAATTACTTGCAGATCTGCAATGAGTTTGTGCGATTCAGTACCTATCTGCCTGATACAAAGGTGTCAGTGTTCTATGGTGGAGTCAACATCAAAATTCATAAAGACTTGCTGAAGAATGAATGTCCTCACATTGTTGTTGGTACACCTGGTAGGGTGCTTGCACTCGCCAGGGACAAAGATCTCTCTTTGAAGAATGTGAGGCATTTTATTCTTGACGAGTGTGATAAAATGCTCGAGTCACTTGGTATGCTGAATTCTAATAATCTATATATTAGATATCTTACCTCTCCATGAATAGAATGTATGTTTTGACACTTTTTAGTATTTTTTTTTTCAGACATGCGAAGGGATGTGCAAGAGATTTTCAAGATGACTCCTCATGATAAGCAAGTTATGATGTTCTCAGCTACACTCAGCAAAGAGATACGCCCAGTCTGCAAGAAGTTTATGCAAGATGTAATGTCCCACAGCCAATACTACCTCGGTTTGCAAGTCTTGTAATCTTGAATTATGTTTAGCCTTCTCTGGGAGATCGTAGGTTTATTTGAGCACCCTCTGCCCTGGGAAATCTGCCATTGATACGTGGATGCAGGGTCTTAATTGAATAATACATTGGGTACCTTTTTAGGGTTTAGAGAATTAGGACACTCTGAATAGGCAATGTAGATTGTGGTTTAGTGATGTCTGTGCTCAGTGGGATCTACTATCATCACGGTGTTTTTCCTTTCCTATATATCTACAATACTAACAGTGCTGGGTCGGTTTTGAGTCGGGAGTTATGTGGCCTCAAGGTTTCATCATGCTCAATTTTATTGGCCTTAATGTGCGGAGCAATATTGATGTTTCATTGCAATACTCACATCTTTCAAGAGGAAACCTGATGGACGAGGATCTCAGTTCAGGGGTTCTTCATCCGTCCTCATTTTAGTTGTGGAAGTCATTGCCTGAGGAAAGCTTGCTAATACCATTTACTCTGATATCTGTTCCTTACAGCCAATGGAAATATATGTTGATGATGAAGCCAAGTTGACTCTTCATGGACTTGTCCAGGTACTTTTACTGAGTGAGGTGGTCTTATTATTCATATTTGTTGTTGCTTGATACTTAATTAACTAATCTTTTTTCTGTCCTACCGTAACAGCACTACATCAAACTGAACGAGATGGAGAAGAACCGCAAGTTGAATGACCTTCTTGATGCGTTGGACTTCAATCAAGTTGTCATATTTGTGAAGAGCGTGAGCAGAGCTGCGGAGCTGAACAAGTTGCTGGTAGAATGCAATTTCCCCTCAATATGCATCCACTCTGGCATGTCGCAAGAAGAGAGGTTTGTAGATTATTTAAAATTAATCTTACTTGATCTTAAAGCCCCCATGGAGACCAACTTTGAAGGCTAATATGATGTGATATGCAGGTTGACTCGCTACAAAAGCTTCAAGGAAGGACACAAGAGGATCCTTGTGGCAACAGATTTGGTGGGGAGAGGCATTGACATTGAGCGTGTCAATATTGTTATCAACTATGACATGCCAGATTCTGCTGATACATATCTTCACAGGGTAAGTATTCGTATTTATTGAACCATGAAAGTTTTTATCATTGATCACACTGAAAGGGCTCTTGTAATGTAACTGTTTTGCACTATGTATGATATATAGGTTGGGAGAGCTGGTAGATTTGGAACAAAGGGTCTAGCGATCACATTTGTTGCATCAGCTTCAGATTCTGATGTTCTTAATCAGGTTCGGACTTGGATATTCTTCATAAGTCCATCCATCTTCGACTCATAATCGAGTTGCGTATTTTATTAATGTAGCAATTTTGAATGTGGACAGGTACAAGAGAGGTTTGAGGTTGATATCAAGGAGCTCCCTGAACAGATTGATACCTCCACATACAGTAAGAGTGAATCCTTTTACCAGTTGCACAAAAGCTTGTTTTTGTCTGGTTTTGACATTGACTTTTGTTCTTCTTTATATGCAGTGCCTTCTTAAAGTAGGCTTGCTCTCTCAGGAGTACCTCTTCATATACGACATTGTTTGTGTTCGAAGGGGTCACACATGTAGTCTCTCGACTATCCTTGCTCTGTTGCTGTTTTAGTCTTTTATGAGGACAATAAAAAAATTTCTTGTGTGTTTAGACCGTTTGTACTCGAGAGAAAGAGATCATCAAGTTACTAGTGATTATTGACTTTAGATTCATTTTCAATATGGCTCTCATCAAAATTGCAGGAAAATCCATTTAATATATATCTGTTGAATTGACTCTTTTATCTGTATAGGTTCCTTTATTATAAGAAATTAGGTTACATATACACTAATAGAACACAATAATCTAGCTTTGAATTATGATTTTATTGGTCATACTAACAAAAGTACTGGACCAAGTAGGGTTTCATGTTTAAAATATGTGATTTGAAGAAACGTAATTAGTTGATTGTCGTGTCAATCATTCACAACTTTCGTTGGGTCTCATAAGATTACGTTTCATAATATTACAACCTATACCTGCGATGGTGAAAAGAGTCATAGATGTTGCAAATAATTATCTCCCCCCTTTTGACAAGTAGACCAATGGATACATAAAAAATAAAATACATATATTACTAGAACCCAACAATCTGTTATATTGATCAAATACAACACACATGTATACTACACTTTATTACCAAGAAAAAAAATACAAGTCTGTATATATATATACTAGATTTTTTACATGTATTTTTTTGACAATTTTCTTACATTTATAATCGAATAAATAGATCCATAGCAGCTTTAAGAAAGAAAAAAAAATCCGGATGATAATGAAGAAAACCCTTTTTACTCGCTTTTGAGACATCCAAGTGCCAAGGTCAAAGTCAACTCCAATTCAGCAACTCCTCGATCATCTCCATAGCTAACTGATCCTCATCACTAATAGTTTCTTCTTCCTCTTCTTCTTTCTCGACGGTTTGTTTCTTTGTATTCATCCCCAAGTCAACCGCACTTTCATTAGCTACGGTCCCGAGTTCCAGGCGCATCACCCAAGTCGGACTCGTTTTCGACCCGGCCCGTTTCTGCCAAACTCCGATGTGGGAACTGTCCGTGTCTAGACGGAGACATGTCAAAGACGGCGTTAGGTCTTTGCAACTCTTCCTCAGCTTGGCGTTCAAGAGCTCAGATAACGACTTGGGCGACATTAACGTAGAGTTTACGTCTTTAACGTGATCGGAGCCTTCCTCAGATTTTACGACAGGGAAATTGGTCTTAGCGTTCTGACCGTTCATGAGAAGAGCCGCTTGGTCGTAAGCTCTCGCAGCCGCTTCTGCCGTTTCGAATGTTCCAAGCCATACTCTTCTCTTCCTGATTTTTTTTTTTACACCCACACTCTTTCACATATGCATACATTTACATGACACGAGTTTGAAAAGGATAATTTTTTCAACGTTAAATTTATTTGCATTTAATAATTTACTAGTAATTTTTTATGAAATACTAAAGATTCTAGCTTCATATGAAAATAAGCAATATATATAACATTGTAATATATGTTGAGATCATATATGTATGTATATGAAGAGAGTACACTTACAAAAGAGGATGACGAATCTCAGAGACCCAAGAACCCCATTGTCTCTGGCGAACACCTCGGAACTTCCTCGAGTGTACCATTTTTAATATTCCTTAAAACTTAGGGTTTTTAGTTTCTAGTTAACAAACACGAACAAGTCTTCTTCTCTACATCGTTTGTCCTATTAATATTGTATTCTTAATAATTGGGTGGACAAGGCTTTAACTGTAGTCATAAACCCATTAGGACAAACAAAATATAGGCCCATCAAAACAAAGCCCAATTTAGAGTTTAGGTAAGCCGTATCCAGTCTCCTTCACTACGTATCTGTCTTTGACCTAAGTGAAGCTCAGATATTTTATCCTTCCTCTTGCAATCAGAGAATTCGAAACCCTAATCCCAATTCGCGATCTGACAAGCTCTGCTCAGTTCTCAGGTATCTTCTCGCTCTCTGTTCATCAGATTTCATTGATCATTAGCAAATTCATTTTACACGCTTAGTGTTCGGGAACGTTTCTCCCCAAACTTTAGGGTTTTCGTTTTGCACCGAATTGCGAACTTTTTCTGAAATTTATATTGTTTGTGTAGAACCTGTGAAGTATGGGAGACGCTAGAGACAACGAAGCCTACGAGGAGGAGCTTCTGGATTACGAGGAAGAAGACGAGAAGGTCCCAGATTCTGGAAATAAAGTTAACGGCGAAGCCGTGAAGAAGTGAGTTTTATGTTTAGCTTGATTTGTTAATGAGAAAGTTGATGTTTAAGTTCGAGGTTCCTTAGATCTCTAGTTGTTAGCAGTAAGGCTTTAATTAGTCGCTTCACTTTATAAATTGCAGTTTCTTAATTCTTCAATGCTCTGTAATTATTGGAAACTTATATATGACTTTCAGCTAGAAACTTATTTGATACTCTCATGTGTAATCCTCTTCTCTTCTTGTGTTTTCTTTTTGTTGCAGAGGTTACGTTGGAATACACAGTTCTGGATTCAGAGACTTCCTCTTAAAACCGGAGCTTCTCCGAGCTATTGTTGACTCTGGATTTGAACATCCATCTGAAGGTATAAACTTACAGAACTTACTTCCACAATTCAGTTCTCACTCTATTTTGAGTCTTCTTCCTTGCCTTTGCTTTGCACAATTCTGTTACCTATTGATATACTATAAACTTACATAATTACTTCCACAAAAGCTATTTTTGTTGTTCTTAGACATTTAACTTTTTGTACTTCGTCTACTTTTGAGAAGATATGTCGGTTTAAGATACATATACTTTACCTACCACGTCTAAGTAAAGTTGTGTTGGCTGTATTCAGATTCGTTTTTGTGTTTTTCTGTTATAATTGGTTTCGTTTACTTTGTCCATTAACGTTTTATTGATTACTTTTTTTTCCAGGTAATAAACGCTATTTCAATCTATTGATTTGGAGTGAGCTTAGCATGTCGTAAAGCCACCAATTATAAAGAAATGGAGGTTATATTCTACTACTAAACGGTTCCTTCGGTGCAATTTTCTTTGGTTCTCCCCCAGTTCAACATGAATGTATCCCTCAAGCTATCTTGGGCATGGATGTTATTTGCCAAGCAAAATCTGGTATGGGAAAGACTGCTGTGTTTGTGTTGTCTACTCTGCAACAGATTGAACCGTCTCCTGGACAGGTTTCTGCACTTATCTTGTGCCATACAAGAGAGCTGGCTTACCAGGTATGACTTTTCTGTATAACTCAGGTTTTTGGCTCCTATAGTTCTGTGTTATCACCCTTCCCCCCATGTTGTGTAATCTTTTGCTGTTGAAAATTACTTGCAGATCTGCAATGAGTTTGTGCGATTCAGTACCTATCTGCCTGATACAAAGGTGTCAGTGTTCTATGGTGGAGTCAACATCAAAATTCATAAAGACTTGCTGAAGAATGAATGTCCTCACATTGTTGTTGGTACACCTGGTAGGGTGCTTGCACTCGCCAGGGACAAAGATCTCTCTTTGAAGAATGTGAGGCATTTTATTCTTGACGAGTGTGATAAAATGCTCGAGTCACTTGGTATGCTGAATTCTAATAATCTATATATTAGATATCTTACCTCTCCATGAATAGAATGTATGTTTTGACACTTTTTAGTATTTTTTTTTTCAGACATGCGAAGGGATGTGCAAGAGATTTTCAAGATGACTCCTCATGATAAGCAAGTTATGATGTTCTCAGCTACACTCAGCAAAGAGATACGCCCAGTCTGCAAGAAGTTTATGCAAGATGTAATGTCCCACAGCCAATGCTACCTCGGTTTGCACGTCTTGTAATCTTGAATTATGTTTAGCCTTCTCTGGGAGATCGTAGGTTTATTTGAGCACCCTCTGCCCTGGGAAATCTGCCATTGATACGTGGATGCAGGGTCTTAATTGAATAATACATTGGGTACCTTTTTAGGGTTTAGAGAATTAGGACACTCTGAATAGGCAATTTAGATTGTGGTTTAGTGGTGTATGTGCTCAGTGGGATCTACTATCATCACGGTGTTTTTCCTTTCCTATATATCTACAATACTAACAGTGCTGGGTGGGTTTTGAGTCGGGAGTTATGTGGCCTCAAGGTTTCATCATGCTCAATTTTATTGCCCTTAATGTGCGGAGCAATATTGATGTTCCATTGCAATACTCACATCTTTCAAGAGGAAACCTGATGGACGAGGATCTCAGTTCAGGGGTTCTTCATCCGTCCTCATTTTAGTTGTGGAAGTCATTGCTTGAGGAAAGCTTGCTAATACCATTTACTCTGATATCTGTTCCTTACAGCCAATGGAAATATATGTTGATGATGAAGCCAAGTTGACTCTTCATGGACTTGTCCAGGTACTTTTACTGAAGTGAGGTGGTCTTATTACTCATATTGGTTGTTGTTTGATACTTGATTAAGTAACCTTTTTTCTGTCCTACTGTAACAGCACTACATCAAACTGAACGAGATGGAGAAGAACCGCAAGTTGAATGACCTTCTTGATGCGTTGGACTTCAATCAAGTTGTCATATTTGTGAAGAGCGTGAGCAGAGCTGCGGAGCTGAACAAGTTGCTGGTAGAATGCAATTTCCCCTCAATATGCATCCATTCTGGCATGTCGCAAGAAGAGAGGTTTGTAGATATTTTTAGATTATTCCTACTTGATCTTAAAGCCCCCATGGAGACCAACTTTGAAGGCTAATATGATGTGATGTGCAGGTTGACTCGCTACAAAAGCTTCAAGGAAGGACACAAGAGGATCCTTGTGGCAACAGATTTGGTGGGGAGAGGCATTGACATTGAGCGTGTCAATATTGTTATCAACTATGACATGCCAGATTCTGCTGATACATATCTTCACAGGGTAAGTATTCGTATTTATTGAACCATGAAAGTTTTTATCATTGATCACACTGAAAGGGCTCTTGTAATGTAACTGTTTTGCACTATGTATGATATATAGGTTGGGAGAGCTGGTAGATTTGGAACAAAGGGTCTAGCGATCACATTTGTTGCATCAGCTTCAGATTCTGATGTTCTTAATCAGGTTCGGACTTGGATATTCTTCATAAGTCCATCCATCTTCGACTCATAATCGAGTTGCGTATTTTATTAATGTAGCAATTTTGAATGTGGACAGGTACAAGAGAGGTTTGAGGTTGATATCAAGGAGCTCCCTGAACAGATTGATACCTCCACATACAGTAAGAGTGAATCCTTTTACCAGTTGCACAAAAGCTTGTTTTTGTCTGGTTTTGACATTGACTTTTGTTCTTCTTTATATGCAGTGCCTTCTTAAAGTAGGCTTGCTCTCTCAGGAGTACCTCTTCATATACGACATTGTTTGTGTTCGAAGGGGTCACACATGTAGTCTCTCGACTATCCTTGCTCTGTTGCTGTTTTAGTCTTTTATGAGGACAATAAAAAAATTTCTTGTGTGTTTAGACCGTTTGTACTCGAGAGAAAGAGATCATCAAGTTACTAGTGATTATTGACTTTAGATTCATTTTCAATATGGCTCTCATCAAAATTGCAGGAAAATCCATTTAATATATATCTGTTGAATTGACTCTTTTATCTGTATAGGTTCCTTTATTATAAGAAATTAGGTTACATATACACTAATAGAACACAATAATCTAGCTTTGAATTATGATTTTATTGGTCATACTAACAAAAGTACTGGACCAAGTAGGGTTTCATGTTTAAAATATGTGATTTGAAGAAACGTAATTAGTTGATTGTCGTGTCAATCATTCACAACTTTCGTTGGGTCTCATAAGATTACGTTTCATAATATTACAACCTATACCTGCGATGGTGAAAAGAGTCATAGATGTTGCAAATAATTATCTCCCCCCTTTTGACAAGTAGACCAATGGATACATAAAAAATAAAATACATATATTACTAGAACCCAACAATCTGTTATATTGATCAAATACAACACACATGTATACTACACTTTATTACCAAGAAAAAAAATACAAGTCTGTATATATATATACTAGATTTTTTACATGTATTTTTTTGACAATTTTCTTACATTTATAATCGAATAAATAGATCCATAGCAGCTTTAAGAAAGAGAAAAAAATCCGGATGATAATGAAGAAAACCCTTTTTACTCGCTTTTGAGACATCCAAGTGCCAAGGTCAAAGTCAACTCCAATTCAGCAACTCCTCGATCATCTCCATAGCTAACTGATCCTCATCACTAATAGTTTCTTCTTCCTCTTCTTCTTTCTCGACGGTTTGTTTCTTTGTATTCATCCCCAAGTCAACCGCACTTTCATTAGCTACGGTCCCGAGTTCCAGGCGCATCACCCAAGTCGGACTCGTTTTCGACCCGGCCCGTTTCTGCCAAACTCCGATGTGGGAACTGTCCGTGTCTAGACGGAGACATGTCAAAGACGGCGTTAGGTCTTTGCAACTCTTCCTCAGCTTGGCGTTCAAGAGCTCAGATAACGACTTGGGCGACATTAACGTAGAGTTTACGTCTTTAACGTGATCGGAGCCTTCCTCAGATTTTACGACAGGGAAATTGGTCTTAGCGTTCTGACCGTTCATGAGAAGAGCCGCTTGGTCGTAAGCTCTCGCAGCCGCTTCTGCCGTTTCGAATGTTCCAAGCCATACTCTTCTCTTCCTGATTTTTTTTTTTACACCCACATGTAAATTATAATCTACATTCACATCACTCCTTAACATATGCATGTAAATATATAAACATTACACGAGTTTGAAATGACTTTTCTTTTTTTGTGTTTATAGCGTTTCTTTGCTTTTAATAGTTTATAAATAAATGTTGATGATATAGTAAAGATTCTAGCTATATATGAAAACAAGCAAAGACAGCATTGTAACATATGTTGAGATTATATATGTACGTAGATGAAGAGAGTAGACTTACAAAAGAGGATGGCGAATCTCAGAGACCCAAGAACCCCATTGTCGTTGGCGGACACCTCGGAACTTCCTCGAGTGTACCATTTTTAAGATTCCTTAAAACTTAGGGTTTTTGGTTTCTCTCTTGTTAGTTAGCAAACACGAACTTGGACAATAAGAGGAGAGAGGTAGATAGAGACTGAGGTAGTCTCTGATCTTACTGTGGTTCGTGTCCAACTAACTATTTATATAGAGTTTTAATTTTGAAACTTTTCCTTTGTTTGTAAAACTGACTTTTCTTCGATGATCTAAATAAATTCGATTCACGATGGTAATTAAGATATTTGAGCCCTACAACTTGTTCTCTCAAGCCTCCGTGAGGGCCGTAAACGTCATCAATAGATATCTATTCTTTATTTATGGATACAACGTCTTTGCTTTATTAGAATGACTCTAGTGAAGACACGACTTGCATGTCTCTTCATTTCTATAATGTAGCTTTCATGCCATATAGGGACTCTATCTCTCTCTTTTTTGTCTTTTCCCCCGACCTATATTGGGACTCATACATACAAGCAAATTAAATATGTCATGCCTTTAATTTATCGAAAGTTCATAGATTAGTTATATATTTTCTAAAATACTAGCTACACTTGTTAAGAAAAACAAAAATTACTTAAGATAAAGTCATAAAACCACAAAATAAAGTTTATTTTACTTGAGATAAAACTATATATGTATTTTTGATAACCTCTTCTTTTTTGGGGGGATATCTTTCACCTACTACTGGTTAAGTCTTTAGTTATAATACTGAGTCAACCTACTCGTTTTAGCAATCAGTTTTTCTTTTTACCAAACAGATTAATAACCGAGTTTTGTACTTGGAACTTTGTGTGTGGTGTACGTTGACTACTTGACTTGACGTAACATAGCTGATAGCTTTAACGCCACATCGTGAGTTCAGTTCCATTGCCTCGTGAACCTTTGTTCATATCTTCCAGTTTAATTCAATTTTGCATTTTTTGGAAGTTTAAATCTATATATTATACTCCCCAAAGAGCTAAAACCAAAACCAAAGAAATGTCGGTGGGTCGGGTGGTGAAAAGGGCGAACGTAGATATTTCAAACGTTCATTTAAGGTTAAAAGTACAATTAGACCAATAAATTTTTTAAAACTTTCTTTTGTGCTAAAAATAAATGTATTCACAACATTTTTTTTTTTTTTTTTGCTAAGTATTCACAACATTTTGCAATAATGGTTTCCACTTTCCAGTCCTATATTGTCAGGACTATATAATAGAAGTTATGAGTAAGGTGGCGCAGTTTGATGGTTATATACTTATATTGTGTGTAGTAGTTTTGGGTAGTGATTTGGTTGTGTAACGACTAACGTGAATTCAAATTTGTCTAATACATTTATTGTTTATGAAAACAAAATTTTTGTAACGTTATAAAATTAATGTATACTTTATTTAAAATATAAATAATATGTTAAAGTACATATCCAAGCCGGATTGTATATGAGATTTCATGAATCATAATGCAGTTCATTTCACTAAACAAAAAAAGAAATCCAAGATCATGTATATAGTATCGATCTTACCGAGTTATTATTTAATTACTTATTTCTTTTTCTTTTTTTATGAATCCGGAGCGCAAATGTTTATAGTTTAAAAAATAAATATTAAGGTCAACGGTTTTTGCTTTAGCATCATCAATGTCGCTTAATTTGCATGCCATTTAATATATTCACGTACTCATTAATTTCGGTAATACTTAGGGGGAAGGTATTTACCAGTACATATGTACGTACATTGAGTTATCCCATCGCTTCATTTTTTCTGTTACCACCCAATGAGAAATCCGCAATTTGTTACTAGAGACAAAGTAATGTATTACGTTGCTTTCTCATAATAAAACATGTATTAAATTTATGTATGTACAACCAATTCTCTTTCTCTGTTTCTCCACTATCCTTATGAATTTGCTCTTTAACAAAAGAAACAAAACAAAACAAAAACTGACTAAGTTTTCAGCGGTAAAAACTAAGATTAGCGATTAAAAACTATTACATTCGTTGAAATTATTCAATGGCCAATGAGAATACCACAACTAAACTTGGTATGTGGTGAGCTTTTGTGAGTGAATGTTCGAAAAGTTCAAGAACAAGTACTCACTCGATCGTTTGGTAAAAAACTTCATATACTTACTATCTTTTATATTAATTTTCTTATGTATGTTACCTTTAATTTCTTAACCAGTCAAAAAACCTAAAGAAATATCTTTTGATCTTTTTTATTTCTTTGGCAGAAGACTTTGTCCAATATGATGAGCTTCACCCTATGGACAAAGCTAATGAATAGAAATCATTTCCCATTTATGTGGTAATTTAACACTTTAGCTAACATTACAAAAGTAGGTTTGCCACTGTCGATCGATTAGATGCTTCGTTTTGCTTTTTGTTTATCTTCTCAATTAAATGGAAATTTAGTATAGCTTGTAAAAAAAAATATTTTATTTTTAAGATTGATGAAATTCAAATCGTGAAAAGTGTTCATCGGTAAAGTGAAATTAAATGGAATGTATATAACAAACAATAAAAGTATATCCTCATCTTCTTCTTCTTTTTTGGGACAAAAAAAGTATATCCTCATCTATTAATCAATATATGGAGTTAGTTAAAAAAAAAAAAAAAACATTGTTACAGTTTTAACATTTCCTCGTAGTATACTGAAATGAATGGGTAAAATACGGTGCAATAAGATTAGAAAGGATGGTGGATCCCAAACTCTAACTCAAACTCTTAAATCAAATCCACTTTCTTTTTTTCCTTTAATTATCGTACCAACCCATTAAATGGTTACTGGTCCGAACCATTTAACCCTAACTAATCTTCATCTAACCTAAATTAAGATGTACACCCACCCAAGGCCCTTCTCATTTCAAGAATAAATCAAATTAGTCAAGAAGTTTTTCTAATTCAGTGAATCTATATGCATTTACTTTGGCTCCTATGCTCTTCTTCTGGTATATGACATAACATATATGACAAATATCATTCTTACGCATGAACGGTCATGAGTCCAAGTTAGAAAAGTTATATATGAATATTAAGTTATGCATATATCGACTCAGTGGTACATAACCTTTAGTATATATATCAATGAAATGATTGTATAGGTCAGTGGTAAAAGACGAAAGAGACAAAATACAGTATGTGGGAACCTACGTACACATATAGTATCATATCTAAAACATGCAGTTTTACCTAAAAAGTATGATTGATAATGAAGTGAACTGTTTGCTACCGAAATCACATGAAAAGCTCTAACTTAAGATTATTTCAGTGACATGCGCCACAAATGTCATCTAAAACCTGTTTGTTGTCAGTAGCTGATGCTTTGTCGAACGTAAAACTTGCTCTTTTACTTGTCTTCGCATGCCATATGAGAGGTACATATTTGGGTCGCTTTTGCCCTTCTTTTTTTTTCTTGTATCCGATTGTAACGGCCTATTGGATTCAGGTTGAACCATATAAATTTTACCCAGAAAGAGGCTAAGCGACCATTGCAATTAGCCTGATAGATGAGTCAAGGGCCCAATAAGTAAAAAGTGCAAAACCCAATAAAGCTTTGATGCAATCCAATCATGCAATTGTAAATCATAACATCGCTATAGATCAATAGAGGTTATAGAGCCAGCAGATCAAATGACCAAACCTTATATAAATTAACAACACGCTCATAATAAAGTTGAATAATTCCTTTGCATATTTTTTATGAAGTAAAGGTAAAGTGTAATAAGTTGTGAATGATTTTTCTTATTCGATGATAAAGCCTATAAAGTTAGACAACAAGAGATTTGGGATATCTCCTCGAAGTTGCAAGTATATTGCTATTCTAGTCTGAACTCCTAGTTTTTTTTATCTATGCTGTCGATAAGCTTTGTGGTGGGTTTCTCGGTACGAGGTTCATTTTACCCTTTGAACTATACAAACAACTTTTTGTTTTCTTTTTGACAGAATAGAATAGGTACATGCTTTGAGTTGCTTTCCAACTTTAAGTCAGATATATACCTCATATATATTCTCTAAGTATATTCAGTCGAAGAACAATATACGTATCTAGAAAGATCATTACATTAATTAAATAAGTATTTTAGTGGAATGAAAATTATATTACAACTGATGGTTTGTGAGATATCTGATTTTTCATTTTAGAAAATTCGTTTGTTTGCAGTTTTAGGGATGGTGAAGGTGAGATATTTATAGATATAGCTAAACCTTTACAAGCTTATTTGGATTTTCATGTGTGTAAGGTTTATAATGGTGGGTGTAAGATATAATGGTTGAAAATCTATTTTCCCTTTGGTTATGTTTGGCATGATTTGTTTGTTTAATAGTTTGTCTAGTGATCTACCTTGTTGATTTTTCTTCATTATTGGAGAATATGATTTGCTCAACATCTTTCTGTACTGTATGTTCTAATGGAGTATGAAAGGTACATCAGTTGTAATTAATAAATAAATAAAACATTTGCTATAGTAGAATTCTGGTGAACTATGATTACATGGACTTGCTATTCACCTGAGGGGATAATTTCGTATTGGTTACCAAGAATGATTCTCGTCCACTATATAAGGAGTTTAATTGTATAGGGTTTAAGGAAATCGCATTAAACACATGCTTCACGAGACAAGTGCTTCTTGAACTGTGCATTTGGCGGCCTGGTGCAATGCATCACGTTATTTAGAATTTATGAGAAGTAGAGAAGACACCAACGAAATATCTTCGGTGAACAACCACAAATTTCTTATCAATCCACGTTTCTGACATAAAAATTCGGTTTTACATATGGCATTAATATTCAGAATATAATTTTCTCGTCGAGAGAGAGAGAGGGGGAGAGGGTGCTCAATCACTTACATATAAATTTTGAAGTTTCATTGTGCTATTTTGGTTAATTGAGCTAAACTTATATACTGCAGGATTCAAAACCAACCCCGTACCATACGAAATAAATTTTGTTATAGTTGGGCATGTACCACTCAATTTTTGGCGCATGTTTTCTCCTTGCTGACTATATATGTAAGATATATTTATTCTTGCCCGGCGATTTGCTTCCTGTACTTTTCTTACTTACGCTTTAAATTCACCCAAAAAAAAACAAAAACTAGTACTACTATACATACTATCTATATAAATGTTATAAACGCAATCTACAAACACAACACTCGTACAAACACAAAAGCTATAGTGTAGGAGACAAGAAATATAAGCACTTACGACGACGAGAGATTTAAGCAAGGAAGAAAAGAGCTAGGTAACTTAAAACTAAAACAAAATCTATCCCTTTTACTCCTAGCAATTTTAATTATAAATTACAGTTCACAAATTAGTAACCTTTTCCCCCATTAAAGATATATAATAAAAGTAGCTGTGTAGGGAGGAGACAAGACACAAAACATGGAATGTGAAGTAGACTTAGGAGAATGGGTACTTCTTTTTATAGACAAATGGTTTGGTTCTTTTGTGCAGAGTATCGAATCTCTTTCCTTTATAGGTCTTTCCTTCGAGACTCTCTATAGAAGAATAGAGAGAGATAAAGACTCAAAACATTTTTTCTATATACAAAAAAGAAAGAGAGCTAAAAGCCAAAGATTCTCTCGAAGATCCATAAGATTTTCTTTTCTACTTCGGATCTTCTACTCCTATCTTTAATACATACATGCATACATATACACCCTTGTTGTTGTTGTGTTGTGCTTGGTGATTGTGGCCGAGGGGGTTTCATAATAAATCCTGTGTGCCGACCCAGTTCGCGCGTGTGATACATACACACACACACATCACACACTCCACGCACTCTTCTTTTCTCTATTAAATTATTAAATGCTCTCTCACCCACTTTCTACTACAACTGGTGGTGAACAGAGGAACAGAGCTAGACAGAGACACCAATAGAGAAAGAGAGAGAGAGAGATAGAAAGAGAGCGATAGGATCTGATCTCATTTCATTTCATTTCCTCGTTTCCTTCTTCTGCGAGGGAAATTTAATTGTTTTCTACTTTGAAATCTTCCCCATTTCTTTACTCTTCAAGAAAGAGAGAGAGAGATTGATATACTAGTGTTAAGACCCTCCTTGACATTCTCTGAATTGAATTTCAAAACTTTAGAGAGAGAGAGAGAGAGAGAAGGAGAGAGATAGATAGAAAGTAGAAACGATGTTTGCTTCCGAGAATGGTCTGAAAGGTGATCCAAGGCTTGAAGCTATATCAGCAGCCATTAGAGTTGTTCCTGATTTCCCCAAGAAAGGTCTTTAAACCTCTGTTTTTTCTTCTCTCTTAGGCTCTGTTTTTTTCTCTGCTTTTGCAATTTTTCTTAAGAAAGTTTCAATCTTTCTCGGGACAGGGATTATGTTTCAGGACATAACAACGCTATTACTGGATCATAAGGCCTTTAAACACACGATCGACATTTTCGTTGATCGCTACAGGGACATGCAGATCTCTGTCGTGGCTGGTAAGACTCCTCTGTTTTTATCTTCTTTTTTTTTTGGTTTTTTTCCATCATTATCCTCTCCTTTTTCTTTACTACAGTGTTTCGTCATCAAGTTTGTTAAGTAACGCCAAAAATTCGGTGTATTTCTAAATGGGTTTACATCATATAAGCAAACAAAACACATTATAAAAGTAACAAGAAATGTCCTTTTCTTCATTAAGAAACTAATATATTTTCTCTTTACATGCAAATGTATGTGTGTTTTATATAGGAGTTGAAGCAAGAGGTTTCTTGTTCGGTCCTTCCATTGCCTTAGCCATCGGCGCAAAGTTTATCCCTTTGCGTAAACCTGGAAAATTACCAGGTTACTTTTTGTATATATGTTTTTACTGCATTCTCTGTTTTATTTTTGTAATGATAGATAGACTCTTTTAAATATTGAGATTGTGATGAAAAAATGTAATATATAGGGAAAGTGATATCGGAGTCTTATGAGCTTGAGTATGGACATGACCGTTTAGAGATGCATGTTGGCACTGTTGAGCCACGAGAACGTGTCATTATCATCGACGATCTCGTTGCTACCGGCGGCACTCTCTCAGCCGCCATTAGCCTTTTGGGTTTCTTTCTTTTTCTTTCAGTTTAGTAATGAGATCTTTTTGGTCTAAAACTGATTTATTATTATGTGACACTTGGTTTGACGTTTTACAGAAAGCCAAGGAGCTGAGGTTGTGGAGTGTGCTTGTGTTATTGGCTTGCCTGAAGTCAAGGTGAGTCACACTTGTTCTCTTGCTTGTTTAAGAAGTTATTACTGGTTTGTTCTTTAGAAAAGATATGACTTAAAACTGCAGTGATAGAGTTGGACAGTTGGCTTAGGTTATGTCACCTCATCTGGAATTTGGTCATTGATTGTAAAAGATTTTGAAATGGTTTTAGGGGCAACACAAGCTGAAAGGGAAGCCTCTTTATGTGCTGGTGGAGCCTAGTGGAGTAGATGAGTTCTGTTAGGATACAATCCGGTTAATGTTTCCTTCTTCTTCTTTTTCAAAAACTCCTAGGGTTTCACTTTCAATTCAACGTCTTGTATTCGTTACCTGTAGATTTTGAATTTTGCTGTGTGGTTTTTACCTTTTTAAGTGAGAGTTAGGACAACAATGTGTACTTTCCCCCACGTCAGTGGTTGGTATAAAAAAAAACTGGGACATCGAAAGTGTCATTAAAGTGCCCTGTTTGGTTCCATTTCTTCTGACGGATTGAATTACAAACTTTAATCGAATTTGCTAATAAAACTGTAATCATCAAAAAGGGTAAAGACAACGTTACGTAATATATGCGGGGAATCTGAAAAAAAGGGTACAACTAGTAGGTTTACCAAATTTAATGCGGTTATTACTGAGAGACGCTAGCACTGATAAAGTTGGTTGGTAGTATTCTACGACAAACTCTATTCATTACTGCTACTACTACATTGGTCGGGATATCGATACTATATTGTAATAGTACAAAAGAAATAAAAAGATTTTAAATTGATAATTTTATATTCTCTTTCGGGTGGATTACGGTTCTGCCGGCTTTTTGCTCCAAGAGGGTTATTTTTTCAACTCGTCGGAAGGATCTTTTGTGGGTTTTTATGTCCGAGAGAGTTTCGATTCTTGCCGGCTTTGTGTATCGGAATGATCGATAAAAAGAATATTCTCACTCAGGTGGGTATCTCAACAAAGCATGATAATGGGCCTTGTGAGATAGTAAAAAAAAGCCCAAGAAGTTAGAACTGAGGCTAGATATTTTTTGTTTTGGTTGCGCCTCTGATATTTTTTCAAAATTCAACTTTTTGTTCACTGCAAAGCGGGCTTCTTCTCTCCGATTAAAATTTTCATTTTAAGGGTTTCTCAATAATTCAATTTCCATGTATGTATGTATGGTGGTGCTTTGATTTGAACAATTCTCGGATTTTACTGTCTCAAACCGATCGATTTTGGGGTTTTCGCTGAGCAAAATTATTGTTCGTCGTTGTTGTCTAAGATCTGAGGTTTTCTGAATCGGCGATTTACAGAGAGAGAGAGAGAGAGAAGAGAAGTGAGCTGGGAAAGAGGTGGGGGAGTAGATGGCGATCCTATTTGCGTTGGTGGCTCGTGGAACAGTGGTGCTATCTGAGTTTAGCGCTACTTCGACTAACGCTAGCTCAATTGCTAAGCAGATTTTGGAGAAATTGCCCGGAAACGATAGCGATAGCCACTTGTCTTACTCTCAGGATCGCTACATCTTCCATGTTAAGCGAACCGATGGTCTTACCGTTCTCTGTATGGCTGATGAATCCGCCGGAAGTAAGCTTCTTCTCCTCTCGTTTATTTCATATATTTTGCCTTTTTCTCCATTCATGATTTGGCTTGAGTTTCTTATATTTCTGCTGTGGTCTTATCTCAATTTTGGGGACATATTATAAGCTCCAACTGTGCTATTTAGATTCGAAAGATTGTTTTTTTAATATAAAGATGTTGATGATGTGATATACAGTAGGAAGGATCCTTTGATATAATTGATGTTTTGGTGATGTTAGGACTGTGTCACATATGACTTTGCTTATTGTTTTTCATAGTTATCTGATTTGAGCATCTTATGTTGCGGCAGGGAATATTCCGTTTGCGTTTTTGGGTGATATTCATCAGAGGTTTGTGAGAACATATGGCCGTGCTATTCATTCAGCTCAAGCTTATTCCATGAATGATGAGTTTTCAAGAGTTTTGAGCCAGCAGATGGAATACTATTCGAATGATCCAAATGCAGACAGGATGAGCAGGATCAAAGGTGAAATGAGTCAGGTAATCTTACAAAAAAATCATCTCTTTTTGCACTCTATGTCGGAATAGCCTACTCTAATTATCTATTAAACCGATGATTTTGATACACTTTACACACTCTGTCACTGACTATTTCTAGGTGCGGTTGTTTTCATTTTCAGGTTAGAGATGTGATGATTGAGAATATTGATAAAGTCTTGGATAGAGGGGGCCGTTTGGAGTTGCTAGTTGATAAAACCGAAGATATGCAAGGCAACACTTTTCGTTTCAGAAAGCAAGCTCGCCGTTACAGAACCGTTATGTGGTGGCGAAATGTTAAGCTTACGTACGTTTCCTGGACTAAAAATCCTTTCCAATAAACCTTGATAGAATGATGAGACACAAAAATCAGCAGTTTCTTGTGGAATTTATCACTTCATATGTTTGAAAATAGATTGTATAATCTTACATTCTTCATGGAGTTGTCGCTGTTGGCTCTTTTCTAACGAGTTTGTTGTTTTTCTGCAGGATTGCTCTGATACTTGTACTCGCATTGGTTGTGTACATCGCGATGGCCTTTGTTTGTCACGGGCCAAGTCTTCCTAAATGTTTCAAGTAAGAAGACATTCTTACTATCACCTTTCCCTTCTCGGGAATTTATCATAGACTCTGCTTCAATCTTGAAATGTGAGATATGCCATGTGTAAAATGTGTGTTTATGTGCTCTTTCAAGTATCAGCTTCTACATATTATATCGAATTTGAGAACCAAATGTTATTTGTAAGTGTGATATTTTACTGTTAATGATCATACCCTGTCTGTTTACAATTTATGCTGTAACGTTAAGACTTCAAGTCTCTATTTAAGATTATAAAAAGAAGTCGTTTTCAGCTTTTGCTGGATTTGAGAAGGTTGTTCCAACTTCAAATCACATAGTGAAGATGGCTACATAGTACTCAAGTTTGACTAAAAAATATACCCTCTGTTGTAGTGGCAATCTCTCCCTAAACTCAGTCATCTCTTTTTCCTACTCCGCAAGCTTAACCAAACTCACCTTCCTTTCTTGCCTCACAAGCAAAAAAACCACGCTCGCACGCCTCTTTCTCTAAAGCCACCATCTCTCGTTTGTTAAAGTACCTTTTGGCCACAAGAAGCTCATCAAGAACGGACCGAAACCAATCTACTCGGATCATTGCCGTCTCTACTTCCTTAACGAAATCTAATGACGCCAAGGTATTGACTAAAGCTCTCTATAACAAGCTCTGCTAGAGTCTCGAGGTGGTAGATTCGTGTGGAGAGAGAGTGGAGCTTGGAATTTGATGTGATGTCTCCATACTTGTCGAATATATTTTAAAAGAGGCGACTAGCTTTGACTTTGTATTCCCCGACGGAGACAACATCGTACGAATCAGAGGTTGTGATCAGAAGAGACTTGTTCAATGGAGAAAGAAGAATTCCAGAGAAGAGTAAAACAGAGTTTTGGGCATCATCTTTGAAAACAGAGCATGGTCTGTTCCATCGAGGTACAGAAAATAGAGAGATCTCAGCTGAACACAAACTCATCTCTGTCTTTCACTTACAAAAAGAGATAGTTGAGTTCTAAAAAGATAAAGCTATTTTCTTTTTTCCCTTAGACGACAGTTCAACATACAAAAACCTGAAGTTCGTAAAAAGGAGACTATATTATGTATAGTTTCTAAAGATCCTATATATTATACGTATGTGTATTATATAAAAGAGTATAACATTATATATTGTTCACTGTGAAAGAGGGATTCGAACATTAAGCCTCCGTAACCAAATGGAATGCATTATCATATGCAACATGTCGTATGGCTTTGATGGTCTGTTTACCACGAAGTGTTTCCGAACCTCCAGAACTTTCCTTTGCAACTCCAAGTACTCTTCTTCTGGTATTGCTTCTAGAATCTTCTTTATCTCTGGAATCTTTGATATTGGAATATGAATCGAGAATGCCTTCCAATTCAACACATCGCTGAACGGAAGAACGTATGAATCAGCAATGATGACGGGGACGCAACCAGAGTATAGAGACTCCACGATTCTGGGACTCGCCACTTCCCAACCGCTCGGACAGAGACAAAATTTTGCTTTGTCCATCATTTTGGTGTAGTTGATGGTTTTGGGGAGATACTCGTAGACTTGGACGTCTTTGTCTTTTTCTTTCCATTGGTCGAAAAGTATTTTTCGGACCTCTCCATGAGAACCGCCTGCGAAAAATGCTAAGAGTTTGCGGTTTTGAGGCTGTTCTCCCGTGTGTACATACCCTAATTGGCTTTGTGGAATGTTAATTTCTGGCAATGAAACGTCTCTCATGGGGGTGAATCCCTCGGAAGCATTGGCATTGCAGAGAGCTCTAATAAAATGCCTGTATAGTTCTGGATCCGCAGCTGAGACATCAGGTGCCTTGAAAAACAAGAAACAACAAGGGAGAGTTAGGTTAGGGTTTTTGTGGTTTACTTTTCGAACAAGAACTGTTTATACACAAGGAGACTCACCCAATCGTGACAGGAGAGGAAGAAATGGTCAGCACCGTGACTGCGATTCCAATAAGGGTAACGGTTCGAGACGAGAGAGATGTAGTCTTTGACAACGTTTTGGAGGCGGTCACGTGCATAGCTAGTGTAAGGTCTATAGACAAAGCGTATGATATTGACGATCCCTACAGGGATGTAGAACACGGTGGCTTCCTCCGGTGAAGCAGCCTTGAAACGGCTGTCTCCGTTCTCGATCTCGTCCATGAATTGGCCTTCAATGGCATAAATGTTGTTAAGAGGACCCTTGTGAAACAGAGGAGCTTCTCCTTCTCTATAAGTCCATATCTTGAATCTCTTCTCCATCTCTCTGTGGCTCCTGTTTCATTGTTATGAGTAAAGAGAAAAAAACATTACATATGCAAAAAAATCACTGTGTTTATCTATATATAGAGATGGTTATGTATATTGTGAGACTTTTAAAAACTTTCTCATAAAATAAAAGTAAGAACAAAGAGAGTGATGTGTTTTACAAAGGTCAAGCTGAGAGATGGAGAGAAGTATGGAGAACTCTTTAAAGCTAAAACCACTCTTTCCTCAAACTCTCAAAGTCTGATATATGTTGCTAGAAATAGAATGTTAAATAGAATATTGATGTTGACACATATTTCTATTAATGGTGATTTGGAGGCATGAAAAAAAAAAAAAAAAGTACAGATCCTAATGAGTACCTACTAGTTAGCTACATAATTCAATTTCTCTTACCCTTAAAATTTTAACTTAAAAATAAAAATAAAAATAAAAGGCTAACATTACCTAAACATTGTTGTTATAGTTATATACTAATTTGTATATTTGTATGATTAAATTATTTATTTTAAGAAAAATAAATATAGAGAGAGAGAGATTGATAAGTAAAAATAGGAAAAAAGGTAGGAGGAAGAAAAGGTCTTAACTGATGGAAAGTAAAAGCGTTGAGATAGACAGATCCATTCGATACGAATCCCGTATCCGAATTATTCGTCCGATCACGATCACGGCGGAGACTCTCTTCTCCGGCTTTCCTTATGGCGGCTCTCGCCATGGCCAAACCTTCTTCTATTCTCTCCACCGCTTCATCAACTAATTCTTTTACCACCACAACTTCTGACGTCGCCGTCAACTGTTTTTCAACATAAAACCAAAACATTTATTATTAACACAAAGATATATATATATTTGAAAACCTCGTATCTAACTAGTAATTACACAAACCTAGACGAGAACAACACTTGAAGAAAATGTAAAGGATGTAACATAACATATAGAGAAGACATAATTAATGTACATTAGTGTTGGAAGTGGTATTGAGACAAGAAGGTGGAGAACGAAAAGGAAATATTCTCAAGGAAGAGAAACCAGCTCGTTGTTGTTGTTGTTGTGGAGGAGACGAGAGACGACGACAAGAAGGATCATCATAATCGATTACGGATGATGAGAATATTTGTTCATGGTTGTTGATTGAGTAGAAGAAGAGGATGATGACAAGTGAAGGATATAGCAGAAACGGCGTCGTACATGTCAGATCCGCCATTCCACTAGCTAGTATGGTTAGGAGGATCTTATTTCTTCTTCGAGGTGTAATTTGATTAGGGTTTGGTTTTGATTTTATACAGATCAATCAAAAAAATAAGAAGAAGAACAAGTCAAGAAGAAAAGATGATTTTGATGAATGTTAGGGTTGTTGTTTGATTGAATGAATTTTTGAGGAGGTTTATTACTCTATTCCTTATTTTTTTCTTTTCATCAAATTACTTACCTTACTCCTCTATTTATATGTGTGTTATATCTTTGGCCGTCTAATCCGGTTTCGGATTTTTTTGATTCAACAAAATTTGTTTTTTCTTTATAATGTTTTGGTCAACGTAATATAATTAATTTATACATGACTCTCGTGTGCTTCGTTTTTGGTACGGTTTAGGTTGGATATGTTTTGGTTTCCTGATATCCAAATATAATAAAATCGGAAAAAGGAAAAAAACAGATTTTACATTTAGCTCAATTATCTTATGTTGCTGATAAATGTAAAAGATAACTCGAGATTTTACGTTTTTATACGTAAAGATAAGAAAGATATACGATTTTCAATCTTTAGATGAATCGAAACGTAAAATATATTCATGGAACTCATCATATATGTGGGAAATTTAAAAAGCAAAACAAATACTATAAACGTTCCTAAGAGAGAGACAAGCCCCAAGCAGTAGTCTACTAAATGAAAAAGCGAAAAGGTAAACTACTTTAACGACTTACCTTTTAGTTTTTTCATACTTGTTCTGTATTTTCTGCAGACAATGTTCTATTCTTTTGTAGTTCTGCTCACACAATACTTGTGTTTTCGTGTTAGACACTAGGTGGAGTAAGATTAACTACAGAGATTTTTGTTTGGTTAGTAGTTTCTACATGTAACATGTGATGTGAACATACATTTCATCGAAACGGTGAAAAAAGTACGATAGTAAAACTGAGAGAACAAAAAAAAAAAACATATAGCAGGTGTATTTTTACCACATCTTTGTACAGTGTGCTCTGAAGGGAACGAAGCTACAAATTACATCAACTATTAGTTTTACTATCTATTTTTATGTTCTGTTTATATCTAAATGTACATTACTAAGCAAATCACCAAGACTTCATCAACTGAATTTACAAAAGGATCTTTACCACTTGCTTTTCCACAGATAATATTGTTTACTGCATAAGTTTTTCATTATACAAAAGGTTATTTCAATACATCACCACAAAAACCGAGCACAAAAATTTGTACTGGGCGACAATCTTATTGATTTATTGTTACTTTGTTTTCTGTTATGATCGCATATTGGTTCAACAAAATGTTTTTTTTTTTTATTATTTAGGAAAAATAACCAGCCTTAGGGCTTGGGGAGACTGATCCCAAGCTTCTCTAGAGCGGCCTTAATGGCATCACGACCACATTCTTCAGCTTCAGTGATATTGGGACTGTTTGATGGAGTCACATCCTCCATTGGGTAGCTTCGGTTGCCGTGTAGCTCACGCAAGTCACTGGCTAGGCCTTTTAGTATCACTGTTTTGTGAATTCCTCCAAGCAAGCCTTCGTAATCTGTGTCACCTGAACCTCCCACGAACACCACCATGTTTGATAAGTCAATCCCCCATCGCACTAGCAAATACCTGAAAACAGAGGAACATATGTGAGCTCTGATCACTGCGAGAATTCAAGGTTTCAAAAATCCAAGAAAGTGAAAACACTTATTGATGTGTTGATATCATAGTTTATGATCAAAACGTACCTAAGGGCCTGAGATCGTGAAGCAAGAACAGGGATTACATTGAGCCGAGCTCCATTTTGGCAGTAAACTACATTGCAACGTAATGCTTGAATTCTCATCAGTTTCCTCAGCTCTTTCATTGGAGGAATCTGCAGAGAGATTGAATTATCGAAGTTGAGATTAGAAGATTAAAAACCGAAGATCAATGTTTCAAAGATTATAGGCCGAGGGGTGTATTTACCAAAGCGGGATCTTTCACTTTGAAGGATAAGCAATAGTTGGTAGAAGAAGACTCATCTTCAGCTAGAATCTCTCCTTGTTTTGCCTTTTTCTTCTCTTGAACAGAACTAATCCAGCGGATCAAAGTCTTCCTCAAGCTCTCTCCACCCCAGCGGAATTCTATATGGGAATGGTAATCTGCATCAAGAGTATAAGGAAGCGCGGTTTTATCCTCAGAAGCAGAGGACGTGAAGTAGAGTTCACTTCCACTGTTGCAGATAACAGCATCAAAGTCTTGCGGTTTCAACCCTCCTGAAAGCAATGTTGTGTGAGTCTCAGATATAGTCATTGAGGTTGAGAGTATAAATCCTGTAGAACCTCCTTTTCCTGCAGCATCAATAACTGTTTTCACCACTGCGAGTAGATCTGAGGTTGTGCCGCAGTCCACAGCAATGACAAATATATGTTTCCTTCTTTTCAAGGTCGGCATCTTTGAATCAAACTTCTCTGCTGATCTGCCCTTTTGTGCCAAGGTTGAAACAGCTTTCTCTACCTCAGCTTTTCGTTCAGCGGCGCTGTCTTCAGCATCTAAGTTAGAATCTACACCATTGTTACCGTCACCCTTTTCACCATCTAAAGAAAGTTTTAGATTCAAGGAGATGTCATGTATATCTCTCAGAGAGTCGCTGGGTGAATCAGGGTCTGAGTTCTCAAACTCAGCTCTCTGCCATTTAGGATGTCTTTGCTTACACGAAGCTATCCGAGCTAAATATGTTTTGCAATGCTCTGGCCACGAAAATAGGTGGATGTTTTTAAGGCCGTTTTGCCTGCATCTTCCCCATAGCTGTTTGTCTGAAACTAGTTTCAGCAGAGCATCAGCTATAGCTTGCTGATTATGAGGGTCAACTAGAAGACCATTGTCAAGAACCTGCAAGTTAGTAGCAAATATCAGCTATAGCTTGCTCCGCTTTGATTGCACAGTGCCGTATAGTGCAATTTTTTCTTTGAAATATGGAAAGTGACAAACCCGATGAATATCAACAGGTCCTCCATTTATTGTTGCGACAGTGGGCAGTCCATGAGCTCCCGCCTGTTAGTTACAGCGCATGCTAATAAATAAAATATCCTGTAATGAATACAAAACTGAAGAGATAGAAATGATAAAATACCTCTATCAGAGTCAGTCCAAATGGTTCGATGAACGCTGGATTTATAAATACTCCCTGCAAAAAAGGTTTGAGCTAAGACAGATAAACAATGCAAGGAACTAACTAATTCACAGAAACAGCAAACACGCAGGCTAATATCCTGTATATGGGAACAATTATTGATCACTAAATTCGCTACGATAATTTAGGAAAGTCAATCCATAAACCCTATAACCACTTAATAAGGAAGAGATCCAAAAAAATAAAGAGAGAGAAAAGTAAACATGTTTGACACCTTTGTTTTGGCTGCTAAACGGTAAATTTCAGGCACATCTGATTGTTGGTGATGCTTAGGCATTGCCACTTGACCATATAGGTCGTACTTGTCAATTAGCTTCAGAATTGAGAGCAGCACAGAGGCATTCGTGGAGGACAACTCATCAATATCATTTCTATTTCCCATTATCAATGTCTGCAATCGAAGGTAGTGAAAGGAGGAATGGAAAATGTGAAATACACTTCCAGAAAATTAGTTGGAGATCATAATTCTATAAAATTTAAGTAGAAGACTTACAAGGTTAGCAAGTTCCCGTAATGGACGACATTCTCCAAAGGCTTTGACTAAGGTAACCAAATTCTTTTTAGGATCCGGCCGAGCAAGAGCGAGTATCATAGGCTTACGAGGGTTAGAAAAGAAGCGCATAATCTGCCCAAGTAAAGAGTAATTGCAGTAAATATTAAAGTACCAGTTAAGCATATATACAAAGTGTCAAAGTAAAGGATAAAACAAAGTCTATAATTTGAAGATATGATAACCTCAGACCAAATTGGTGGATCAGCAGATTGTGGATTTTCATCATCTCCATCTGCATCCACATCATGTGGCACAATGTGATGAAATTCCATTCCTGGAGGAATTACCTAAAATCACACGACAAGGCTACTCGTGAGTCATGATAAAAGTACCTTCTCATGTTTAAATCCAGACGAGGAACTTAGAGGATCAGAGAGAATATGATACTTACAACCATGCGAGGCATAAATCTGCCAAGACAGCTCACGCCCCTCTTCATTCTTGCTCTGAGTTTTCGCTCCAAAACCGGATCAAAACCATCATACAGGCGCCATTGCTCTTCTATCTCTTGTCTTGTGCTAGTTATAATAATCTCAGAAGCATCAAGACATAGTTCCTCTGCCTCAATCCGTCTCATTATCTTGTAGTTAGAATTTATTTCCTCTTTTGGTCTCCCTTGCTTCAGGAGTTGCTCAAGCTTATCACGACCAAGAGAATGTCCAGTAAAAACCATTGGTACATTCAGAGCTCCAGATAGAAGAGCAGCAGAATCACCAGCATCTGCATAGTGTCCGTGAATAGAAACAGGCCACACTTGTTGTCCCCCACCAATTTGCTCACCAAGAACTTTAGAAATCTGCATAATATGGCTAAGTGCCCTATCAACAAATTCGGGGATATGAGGCCAGAGGAGCTCTTTTGGTACATATTTATCTTTTGGACCAAAAGGTATGCGAATTATATAGGCGCCACTGCTCTCTCCATGCTCTTGCTCTGTATCAATGTCTAAAGGATTTAACATCTCACTCGGTTCAGAGTAGCTGGAATCCACATCTGGTGCAGACACCTGTCTGGTCAACAAATCTACACGATAGACTCCTGGCATTGATCCCAGTGCCCTTGCAAGTTCCACAACATACTTCACCTGAGTGAAGAAATCGTTTTAAACAGTGTGAATTGAGAGTTTCAATCTAAAAAAAAAAAATGCTTGTAGGTAGAAGATTACCTGGCCACCAGTATCAGAATCCCTACCAAGCTCCATGTTTTCACCACGTATCAAACCATGAAGACTGCAAGACATTTTCTACCATGTGAAACAAACTTATTACGACTACAGAATACCAAATCTCAAGTAATGATGACTATACCTTATTAGCACGATGTAAAGCTTTTTCTCATTGTGTTGAGCAAACCAATTCTCAAACACGTCCACAGAACTGATCCGAGACATTCTTCCTTTGGTGTTGCTAT